CCCTCGTCTGTGTTCAACAGAAAACTTAAGATAATTTGTGCTACGATAAACCTTTGATGTAACGTGTTCGACCTGTCTACATCTTATCAGTCCACATATGCAATTCATGACTTCGTTCAACATAAGTGTGTCTTGTGTAAGATGTCAGATCGTGAGCATATTTTAGCATCATTAAACCGTCGGCTCAGTAGCACGTACAAATCTTCTGGTTTTGACAGAAAGCCAATTACCATGTTTGTTATGTGAAAATATAACACAACATATAACGAGTTTATGATGACAGTAGTCATCAAAATACTCAGGAAAGTAGGAAGCATGATATTCCACACAATAGGCGGAATAATTTTTCTCATTACCGAAAGTAGAACGAAAACAACAATGGTTAGTAGGATCGCGGCCATAATTGTAATGTTTTTACTAATGATATAAACAGAAAATCGCAGCGGGAAAATAAACAGCCGTTCAGTGAGTGATCAACTTTCAACTGATATTTTACATTACTGGTGACTTCCAAAGAAAATGTCATTCACTTGATGAAGCTTCTGTTGGGAAAGCAACGGAAGTCAGTTTGTTCTTATTACATTAAGATCCAGTCACAATAGTTCAGAGAGGCACATTACCATTGGGACTTTACAGAAATTTCTTACGTTTATCGAAATCCAATGGCCACACACAACCAGAAATATGGGGAATAATTTTAGGAGTATTGGTAGTGAGAAACAATAAATACAGAGAACATGGCTTATAAAAGAAGACATGTAAAGGTTTGCAAGATAGAACACAATATATACATATATATATATATATATAACACAGTATATATACTGTCTACCGGGACCCAGAAATCTAACTTTGTGGCTTTACTTAGATGTTCATGAAACACATCAAATGAAGAATATTCTTGGATAATAAATCAGTGTCATACCCACATAGTATGGATATGGTGTGGACATTAATCTCACTTAGAAGAACTGATTAGACTGAATACAGTCACAGTGTGTTGTGTGCTACAGATATAAGTCGACAGATATAAGTAGTATGTATCGTCACTCGAAAGTGGAGTGTCTGGCAGTAGAAGGTTAATAAGATCGAAGAAAAGAGGATGAAAAGAGAGAGCGATTGGTGTGGAAACGAAGGAATAGTCAAGGCTGAGACGATTGATTGACATTTCGCAAATGAATAATTTACTGTATGGTTCTCAGATTTTACTAAGCTAAGGCATTCTGTAATTCCGTATTCGAATGTATTTGTTTGTCCCACCTGTTCGTTCTCGTTCACCATAACGGAACTGCACAAATGGTAACAGAAATATAATAGAGTGACCTCAAAACAACAAACTACAACGTCTCCAGCTGAACCGAGACCAATATATATATATATATATGTTTACTAAGAGCATATCAGGTGTAACTCATTCTGACCGGTCATATAAAATGTTTATATTCCTCAACATAATGACTTACAATGGAAACAGTTTTCAAAATAATTTTTTGTCACATTTTATCCACTAAATGAACATAAAGTTTTGAATACTCTACACATTCACGGATAGACAAGCTACGAGTCAGATTGTTTGCCAATATGAATAGTGGAGATTTTCAATCAACAACAGAAACCATGAGGAATCGCATAAAAATTAATTTTAATTACACGTCTGACAATTGTTTGTCGCATTATTTTCATCATCATATATACAGACTAAAGCAAATTTGAATATACAGTTAAGTGATTGGCAGTCACCTGATTGGTATCGATCGTGTAAATTCAAATGTCAGTTCTATGTATTAATTAGCATGCAACAGTCAGAAAAATCAGTTGAAAGTTGGCCACTCACTGAACGGCTGTCTATTTTTCCTCTGTGATTTTTTGTTCATATCATTAGTACAAAGATTACAATTATGGCCGCGACCATTCTCACCATTATTGTTTTAGTTCTACTTTCGGTAATGAGAACAATTATTCCGCCTATTGTGCGGAATATCATGCTACCTATTTTCCTAAGTATTTTGATGACTATTGTCATAATAAACTCGTTATATGTTGTGTTATATTTTCTCATAACTGTTACACTAAATATTATGACGATCATCATATCTTCGATTAGCTGCCTAGTATTTTAACTTACATGATGATTGTTATAATAATTAGGATAACAGTTATCAAATTAAGGTCTCATGTATATTGACTGTTTTGCCAGCCACCATGCTGATTAGTATAATCTAAATGCGTGTTATAATGCAATTTAAAAATGATGCTTATTTGTATTTTCTAATTATTTTCCTTTGATAGGGGTAAGATGGCAGGTCACGAAGGAGAATATGAGAGGAGAACACTGGACAACAATGTGATTCTAATGTTGTACAAATGTGATTTGATATTGTATAATATAATTTTAAAACAATCCACATTTGTGTTGTCAATGTGTTTACTGGTAGATAGTGAATGTGGGTAGCATAGGGCGTGCTTGTAAAAGTCTCACCACTGGGTAGGGTCGGTGAAGTGTAGGAGTTGCTCGGTTGTGTAGCTGTGGTAATTGTACTAACTGATGATTCCTCCGTACTTGATTGCGCACTGGTTACGAATTGCAAATATAGTACATTCATTTGTAGTACATTCACTCATCTAGTTCTGACTGATTCGGAAATTCTAAGTTTGTACATTAATTCGAGTACTTTTAATCATCGTACTGACATCGCGATCGAGCAAAATCTCGGACGGTTGTATATTATTTTAAATGAGGATAAATTTGAAGACCATGTGGAGTGATCTGAATTCTGGTGCATGAACAGAAATGATATTAAGAGTGATCGGGTCACACCTTATTCGCTGGCTTCCACCGTCAAAGGACATTTTAACCTGCAAAAGTATCCGACTTTTCCAGAAAAACCAATTCAAATGGAGTCCATTGTCTGTCATCAAGCAATATGTGAGTAACAACCCGTTTCATTTATTCATGGATTCAATTTAAAAAATGAAATGCTGATTTATTACCTTAACATCAACAGAAGCTAGAATATTGATGACACTGTAAAATCATATACATGTTTATGTATCCAAATAAGTTGAAGGTTTGGTCTGTTGTTTCGCCTAATATCTTAATGGAAAAAAGCGCTTGCAGTAGTATCTATAAGTGATCAGGCATAAACAACAGACGTATCTGTATGGAAAACAGGTGAATCGCAGATATCGTGGATGCTGCTCAAAATTCCCATTTTGAACTAATCCACCACATAATACGACACATCAACTAAGAGCCATGTATTTTGTCCTTGGTTTTAGTGGTTAGTTGAAGTGGTCACCGTCTGTCATTTGATTTTCCTTCAGATACATGTTCTTCATTTATAGTCTATTTCCCTCGTCTGTGTTCAACAGAAAACTTAAGATAATTTGTGCTACGATAAACCTTTGATGTAACGTGTTCGACCTGTCTACATCTTATCAGTCCACATATGCAATTCATGACTTCGTTCAACATAAGTGTGTCTTGTGTAAGATGTCAGATCGTGAGCATATTTTAGCATCATTAAACCGTCGGCTCAGTAGCACGTACAAATCTTCTGGTTTTGACAGAAAGCCAATTACCATGTTTGTTATGTGATGAAATACTTGCACTATACTGGTTTATTAAGTGTCATTATCGTGCATGGTGATTAATGTTGGGATTCCTTTGAGAAGAACGACAAACGCTCTAGAGGCTCGAAAGGAACCGAATAACCTGATACAGCCTTTTGTAATGTCAACGTGGCATGCTGCCATTGGACAATAGCATAGCTCGCCTTCTTGCGGGTTGGCCGGATTATAATAATGTTATAGCTAATACTAATAATCATAAATGCACATGTCTTTCTGTACATTTTTGTTTCCTACCTGATAATCACCTTCCTTGCTTTTTTCGTCTTTTGATTTGCGATTGTAGCGTTCTACACGTTCGATTACCGTTAGTTGTAAGTCGTATTCTGCCGTAGTCAACTAGAGGATGTGACGACAACTACATTTTTCTACTCAGTATCACTATTTTTGGGGAAGTGAAGAAAATTCATACGAAAATCTTACTGATCCTTAGGATATGATTCAGTCTGTATTTCGAAGACATATCTGTCTTTAATTTTAATTAATGTAGTTTACGCAGTTCTAACAATCGAACATCTATCATAGTTGGTTTGTGATTTGGTTTATGATAGCAAATCAAATCATCTGAAAATTATACACATTCATGAACGTTGATCGCCTAACACAAATTACTACTGCATCAAAACAAGCATCTGTCTTGTTCTGCTGAATTATTTCAAAAGTCAATTCATCTCTACACAACTGTGCCTCACCATGTAACCTCTCCTTCTTTGTATGTCGCTCTAGTTTATTTAACTAGGTAGAAAATGAGTTTGGGACAAAGATGATCACATCCTACACAATTGTCGATATGTTCTCTGAAAGTGAACTGATTATTACTTAGTCCAGAAAATAAGCACAATATTCAATTACTTTGATATCCACAAACTCTCTCTTTCTCTCTAGTAGTCTATTGTGAATGTTTAAGATAATGGTAAACAAAACACTTCACTGATTAGAATGTCGAGTTTATGTGCAATACAGATCTTTCAGTTCTATTTGTCTATCTTTTGAAATTCTAAAAGATTAGAATGCACTCCATCATAATCCAACGATCACTTAAACGAAATAGGTTAAGAAAAATATCGAATGATTGAAATTCACTACACACTACTCAATGAACAAAGCATTTTATTAAATAAATATATTTTAAAAGAACAGGTTAACATGTTTTCAATTTGGTGATAATAATAAATGATCACCATAAATGACATTAGACAATCCCATCTCATGATTATTCATTTGCACATATTATTAAAGAAATAATTGTGAAAGAAAGAAGTTAGCTGTATGTTAAAATATAAAAAGCAAAATTAACAGGAAAACGTTTTTCCAAAAGAAATAAAACAGTTTTACAACATACACACTTTATCTGCATGTATGTGTACAAATCACAATAATGTAAAACAATGAATTTGTCCTTGTCTATCACCGGCAAGAATTTTCAATTGACTACCACCATCAAGAGTATAAAGTTGAGTGATTTCTGTCTCAACTGGATACATAGCAACCTTTAGAGAAAAATTGATATTCATCATTGAAAAAATTGAACACATTCAATACAGTAACTTGGATTAATACAATTGACTATTGAAACAGGAAAATTAAGTGAAATAGAAAGTACGCCTGGTCATCACACATTCCATACATGTTGACTGATTTATAAACGTGACATCGATTCATGAAGTCACTTACACAATTAGTCTGAAACAGGTTGATGGCTGCAGACTATATAGTTTGGGTTCGCGTGTTTATATTGACCAATGGTTGAAGATATTCGATATGGGTTAGAATCAGTCGCTATGGTCAAGATGCAATCACGTTTTCCTGACTTCAATTACAAAAACCGTCTTATACTTTTCTATACCGCGAACTTATTCATTCTCATTGACTGGTTGACTAAACGATTTCAATAATAAAGAAAACCATCGTTGCAAAATAAAAGAGTGGGTAAAGTAGATCAATTTTGAGCATGAGACAATCTACTATTCACTGATAGTGTCGACTTGAAATCGTGAACAAATGAACATGAATTCAATAATCAAAACAAATTGAATTCAATGTGAAATCCAAAGCTACACAACATCACTCCATGATGTAAGATTGTCGAAAAGACCTGATATAATACTAAACAGCTTTGAAGGGTTCCCTAGATTCCTTTTCTGTATATTCTTCACTTGACGATTATTAGGTAATGGAAGTTAATTGCAAATTAGTTACTATCAGAATATAATAAAGCAAGCTATTTTAATGTGTGATAAATTAATACACTCGGTTTAAATAATCTGTACAATTGATAATTTAGTGATTATATTATAGTACTAATACTGAAATATACCATCTGAACTCTGTTACAACTTGAAATCAACACAACCCATTAGTAGGGCTCAATTCTTAATGTAAACATCAACACTGGAATGCGGGTACATTCAGATGGAGAGTCCTGAAGATTTACACAAGACAAGCCTCTTCAGATTTACTAACTAAATACATCTCACATAGCAATATACTCAGCACAATCTACTTGAATATATTAGGTCACTGAAAAGGTTTAATCTTTCATTGGCACATTACTATGTAAACAGGAGGAAATTATGTAGCCATAATGATGAGCAATCAAATTTAATGTAATGTAATTTAATGTAATGTAATTTAATCTGTCCTCAAAACTTCAGTCAGTTATCAATTTCGAATATCTAAAACTGATGACTGAGAGGGTTTTAGGGTTGATCTCCAACCATTCAAACTTAATAAATGCCGATTGAATGACTTTATGAACACATGAGGCGGTTGTCAAAAGACGAGAGTTTAAACTATACTAAAACAACATTTGTCCAGGCAACGAAAGTGATCAAAATTATCCCGTAGCTAATTCACATCGTCCATTGACATTAGTCGAAAAAAATTCAAATTTATAAATCATCGTTAGACAATAACTGCTTAATCAAACAAGATGTTAACAGTAAAATAAATCAATGTTTATTGATGATTTGAAAAGTTAGAATTTTATCAACCAGAATAAATGTCTTCATCAGGATAACTACTGACTACATGCATCATTGATAAACAATGGGGATCTGGCTTAGATGTGAAGGCATGGATTGTCAAAGCAATGGCAATATTCCTACAACTGAAGAACATCTGCAACTAAAAATAACTACGAGACAACATAAAAATCAGGATCTTCAATAAAAACGTCAAGACTGTGCGATTGTATGGAGCTGAAACTTGGTCAACTACCACAACCATAAAAAATGTACAAGTATTTATAAACAATTTCCTACGCAAGATACTCAATGTTCGTTGGTCGGATAGCATCAGCAACAGCCTACTACTATGGAAGAGGGCAAACAAGCTTCCAACTGAGAATGAAATTAGGAAAAGACGTTGGAAGTGGATAGGACATAGATTACGGAACCTATCAAACTGCATCACAAGGAAAGCGCTAACTTGGCATCCTGAAGGGAAACGGAAAAGAGGAAAACCGTCGAACCACCAACGTCGGAAATGGAAAGCAGACATCAAAAGGATGAATAGCAACTGAAAACAACTGGGAAGGATTGTCCAGGACAGAGCTGGATGGAGGATGCTGATGAGTGTCCGACGCTTTACGAGCGGCGTAACAGGAATAAGTAAGTAAGTAACACGATTAAACCGTGCTCATTTCGTCGCGAAATCATGAGTATGATCGGAATCGTCACTGCACAAAGTGAATATATTCCTTCGAAAAATATTGTTTGAAAAAAGTTATGACGACGATACAAAAAACACTACCCAAAATCACCAAGCACTAGGTACTTGTTTTGTTTCACATACAAAACTCCTCAGTATTGCACAAACTGCTACTTCTCACCACCACAATAGTTTTCACTAAGTTCCCTAACTCACATTATTTCATGATGAAATTGTTGCAAAACACAATCGTAATAAGTTAAACCAACCAAACACAGAAACACATTATTTAAAAAAAGACCAAATAAGAAAAGAAAGCAAGAGTGAGAAGTTAGAAAAATACCAGTTTAGTTATCACTGTGTAAACATGAACTAATGAAAGAACTACAATTCTAGAATTACATAATCAATAACTAATGCAAACAACCAGATATTCAATTCAACTTATGTAGGCAAACATGGACATGAGTAATTACATATTTTCAATAGGGTTACATTGATCCGCCTGTAGCTCTAACAGGGTTACTGCCGGTCCCAAGCCCGGATAAAGGAGGAGGGTTGGGCATGGGGTTAGCGTCCCCATCCCGTAGAAAACTAACTCGCTAAAAAAACGCTTACCAGAAAAAATAATTCAAACCATTTAAACTCTGCCCTGGGAGTTAGAAGGTCTTCAGTTAGAAGAATTATGACGCTTCATGGTGAAAGCCGAGTTCCTTCGGAAGCCACGAGGCCGATGCCCCTTCTAACAACCAGAGCAAAAATTTTTATAGGTACATGGAACGTTCGAACAATGTGGGAAACCGGGAAGACCAGTCAAATAGCAATGGAAATGAGGAGATACAACTTAGCAGTACTGGGAATCAGCGAAACCCACTGGACCCAAGCTGGACAGAAAAGGCTAGCTACGGGAGAGATGCTGCTATACTCCGGTCACGAAGAGGAAAATGCTCCACACACTCAGGGAGTCGCTCTTATGCTGTCCAAAGTAGCACGAAATGCACTTGTAGGATGGGAGTCTCACGGATCCAGAATCATCAAAGCATCATTCAAAACAAAGAAGGAGGGGATCTTAATGAATATTATCCAATGTTATGCACCCACCAATGATAGCAACGACGACATTAAAGATCAGTTCTACGAGCGGCTGCAGTCAATCATTGAGAAATGCCGAAGAAAGGACCTAACTATTCTGATGGGAGATCTAAATGCCAAAGTCGGAATAGACAACACTGGATATGAAGATATTATGGGACGACATGGACTGGGAGAAAGAAACGAAAATGGAGAAAGATTTGCAAATTTGTGTGCATTCAACAAATTGGTCATAGGAGGCACAATATTTCCACACAAGCGTATACACAAGGCTACATGGATCTCACCGGACCACACTACAGAGAACCAAATAGATCATATTTGCATCAACAAAAAATTCCGAAGGACAATGGAAGATGTGAGAACCAGGAGAGGTGCTGACGTAGCTTCAGATCACCACCTAGTTGTAGCCAATTTAAAACTGAAGCTGAAAAAGAACTGGACAAGTGGACAAACAGCACTACAAAGGTTCAATACAGCCTTCCTTCGAGATACTGACAAACTCAATGAATTCAAGATAGCTCTCAACAACAGGTTCCAAGCCTTACAAGATCTACTGAATGAAGAAGAAACTACTATGGAGGACAACTGGAAAGGCATCAAGGAAGCATTAACTTCAACGTGTCAAGAGGTTCTGGGCCTAAAGAAACACCATCATAAGGAATGGATCTCTATAGAAACACTGGACAAGATCAAAGAAAGGAAGAACAAGAAGGCAGCAATTAACAACAGCCGAACACGAGCAGAGAAAGTCCAAGCACAAGCTGAATACATAGAAGCAAACAAACAAGTGAAGAGGAGCATTAGAGCCGACAAGAAGAAATACGTGGAAGAACTAGCAACGACGGCAGAAAAAGCTGCTAGAGAAGGAAATATGAAACAGCTTCACGATACAACGAAGAAACTAGCAGGGAAATACAGTAAACCAGAGAGGCCGGTCAAAGACAAAGAAGGCAAGCCAATCACCGAAATTCAACAACAGCGTAACAGATGGGTAGAATACTTCGAGGAACTCCTGAATAGGCCGGCTCCAATGAATCCACCGGACATCGAAGCAGCACACATAGATCTTCCTATAGATGTCAACCCACCAACGACGGAAGAAATTAGAATGGCCGTCAGACAAATCAAGAACGGGAAAGCAGCAGGACCCGACAACATACCAGCTGAAGCACTGAAATCAGACATCGAAGCAACCACAAGCATGCTATACCTTCTATTCAAAAAGATTTGGGAGGAGGAACAAGTGCCGATGGACTGGAAAGAAGGACACCTCGTCAAGATTCCAAAGAAAGGAGATCTGAGCAAATGTGAAAACTACAGAGGCATTACACTACTGTCAATACCAGGGAAAGTCTTCAACAGAGTGTTGCTGAACCGGATGAAGGATGCAGTAGACGCCCAACTTCGAGATCAACAAGCTGGATTCCGTAAGGATCGGTCGTGCACAGACCAAATTGCAACACTACGGATCATCGTCGAACAATCAGTTGAGTGGAACTCATCACTATACATCAACTTCATTGATTATGAAAAGGCATTCGACAGTGTAGATAGGAGGACATTATGGAAACTTCTTCGACACTACGGAGTTCCTGAGAAGATTGTCAACATTATCCGGAACTCATACGACGGACTACAGTGCAAAGTAGTGCATGGAGGACAGCTGACAGATGCATTCCAAGTAAGGACTGGAGTCAGACAAGGCTGTTTACTCTCTCCCTTCCTCTTTCTTCTGGTGGTCGACTGGATTATGAAGACCTCAACATCTGAAGGAAAACACGGAATACAATGGACAGCTCAGAATCAATTAGACGATTTGGACTTCGCAGACGACCTAGCCCTCCTATCACGTACACACGAACAGATGCAGATGAAGACAGCCAGTGTAGCAGCAGTCTCTGCATCAGTAGGCCTCAGCATACACAAAGGGAAAACCAAGGTCCTCAAATTCAAGGCGGAGAACAGCAATCCAATCACTCTTGATGGCGAAACTCTGGAAGATGTAGAGTCCTTCACATACCTGGGAAGCATCATCGATGAACAAGGAGGTTCAGATGCAGACGTAAAGGCGAGGATCGGCAAAGCAAGGGTCGCATTCCTACAATTGAAGAACATATGGAACTCAAAACAACTTTCAACCAATATCAAAGTGAGAATCTTCAATACGAACGTCAAGGCAGTTCTACTGTATGGAGCTGAAACTTGGAGAACTACAACAACCACAATCAAGAAAGTACAAGTATTTATAAATAGCTGTCTACGCAAGATACTCAACATCCATTGGCCGGATACCATCAGCAATAGCCTTCTGTGGGAGAGAACAAACCAACTTCCAGCTGAAGAAGAAATTAGGAAAAGACGATGGAAATGGATAGGACATACATTACGCAAATCGTCAAACTGCATCACGAGGCAAGCCCTAACTTGGAATCCTGAAGGGAAGCGAAAAAGAGGAAGGCCAAAGAACACATTGCGTCGGATAATAGAAGCAGATATGAAAAGGATGAATTACAACTGGACGGAGCTGGAAAGGATTGCCCAGGACAGGGTTGGATGGAGAATGCTGGTGAGTGGCCTATGCTCCTTCACGAGGAGTAACAGGCGTAAGTAAGTAAGTACATTGATTCATTGCATTGTCAAATGACAAATTAACTAAAATAACTAACTGTGCCTAACAACATCCAACAACATTCATTTGTACAGATAGGTGAAGATTATATGCACAAAATGAACATATTTACTAGTTGGCTTTTTCCATACCAGTCTTACCTGTTTCCACTGTTTTGAATTCACCACTGTGATTGGATTGTTTACTGCACATCCTAGAACACGTAAAATATTATCTGATGTTGCAATTATTAGATAGATCAATGTTGAACTATTGTCTTCAGTTGGTGATAGTAACTTCGCACAATATCCAGTAACTTTTATTGATGAATTATCAAGCTATTCCAAAGAGAAAAGAAAGTATTCACCATGATGTCGGTAGTTTTACACTTTGCATCGGATTGAATAAAACGTACAAATATTGACTCAAGGATTAGAATATTAATAATAATAAGAAGAAGAAATACGCCACAGAAATCGAGAGCCAACACCAGACATATTATCAACAATGTTTACATTTGTACAACGTAAACAATATATTAGGTATAAAAACTCACTGTAAAATCTGTCACCAAATCACCATTTTCATTACAAATGAGAATTTTCCAACAATTCATAAGATGACATTCAGCCAAATACAATCTGAATGAAAAAGAAACACAAACGACAACTACCGTTAAACATTCACATTACAAGTATCAGTGATTGTAGGTCAAAGAACTCAACACGCAGGTGATAGTGAGATATACACAACTCGAAACAAAGTGACGATTTTCTGGAGCACCAATCTAGACAAATAAAACAACATTGATCTACCACCTATAATTGGACGACAACAGATTTTCTATATGTTATCTGTTGCATACTGTTCTCTGAAATAAGTTACTTTAAATCACAGTATATATTAAAATGTTGGTTGATTGAAGGGAATGTGTAGAAGATCAATGTATCTATGTGATAAGTTTTTTGCACTGAACCCTCGATCCCATAACGTAGCCGCTTCTAATAGCCATGCACTAAATCGACTTGGCGGCTTGAACACAAGAGAAAATGTGTAAAGTGCAAAGGCACGTTTTACTCAAAGGTTACGGTATGTGCAGAAAATCGTCAGTGTTCATACTATTTGAAGTGACTCTGATCGCTCAGATGTATACTAAATACAACAATAATAAAAAGGTAATTATCCAGTAGAAAATTGCACATGTGATCTGTCGACCATCTAGATGTTTAAAAAAAAGTAGGATTTAATTTGTCCCACAGATATACTATTGGAACCGTAAACGCGATACTGACGATCACAGAGTCTATATGAAATCTATAGTCAGAACAAAGACAACCTGGCCTCAAACTTTATCTGTTTCTGAACGTAAAAACAATTAGATCAGTACAATAATTAAGAAAATTACAGTTATTAAGTGAAACGCACAAACATACCGACCAGCATTGCGCGTCTTATCGAAATGAATAAAATTATGAGTCACACTAATATAATAGGGTAATAATGTCTTTCAATTGGTAAGTCACATGCAACGAGGATAGTTTACAGACACATAAGACCAGATCATCGTGGTGGGTGCTTAAACAACGATTCTATTGGTTAGTTATGGACATAACTAACATCCCCCAAGCGGACACCACGTCCAGACTTCGTTACCGTCGCGCTCAAATAATCGGCCTCTTCCAGTAGACACAGGTTCCGTATGTCCCGGCTGATCTCTTCGGTTGCTGTCTTCAGTCGAACAATTCTGACTCATCCATCTGGACCATAATTGACCTGTCTAACTATAGCTTTCGGCCACAGATTTCTCGGTGATCCAATATTATTTACCAACAATTTCGAGAGAACGCATAAAAATGAGTTAGTATCCAAGGTGTGGGTCATTCAAATGTGAACTGCTATAATAGACAGGCAAGCGAACAAACATTTATTTATTCATTTTAACACATACATATTGGTAGAAGGAGGCACCAAATACATATGCGCCACACAAATCTCATTTGATATATGTGAGGGCTGTGATACTGGCCGGGTGCCCAAACTGATGCAGGCGGTTTTATTAGGAGGCCACACCCGGAGCGTCCGACCTGAAGGTCTGATCCACAGCGCAGTGTAGCATCGTAAAGAGATGCAGTGCCATGGTAGCCGGTGACTAATGATTGGTTCATACGCCATTTGTTCGTTCAGGATACTGGAGCCCATGTACACCAATGGTTTTGAATCAGGGTTTTCCGACTCCACTAGGTGAACTCTCCATGTCCACCAGCACGGTTAAAGCGCGGGACATTCGATTTTCGTCCTCTCAATTTCGTAAACAACACCCGTGGTGTGAGAAGGCAATGAGCAGAACTTCTGTGGCACAGTCTATATACGCGTGGCCATGTGAGAGCATTTCAAGAGAGAGAGAGCGGACTCTCTCCACTCTGGGCAGTACCAGGGAGTTCAGGGGCGCGAACAAAGAGCCGTATCGTTCTCCAACGACTTGCCTCGTTTTAATGTAAAATGGTTCGAAATAGTCTACGCCAACAGAATTGAATGTTGGTACCTAAGCTCCCAGGTGACATCCGGGTATTGGAGCTATAATCTGCGTGTACGGCGTACTGTCGATTCTCTTGTATAGAAAGCACCGTTTCAGGACTCTTCGGATAGCAGCTTGATCCTTAATGATCCAGAACTCTTTGCGAAGACTGTTCAGGGTGTGAGAAATACCAAAATGCGCGTTCTGGAGATGATAGTGCATTACGATCAAGTCGGTAACAGAATGATTACTAGGAAGTATAAGCGGATTTTTGCTTTCAAAGGGCAAGCACGATAATTGAAGTTTTCCCCCTACTCGAATGACGTTATCTATTACGAAGTGACTAAGATTCTTTATCGGGCTCCTACACGCAATGCTACTTCACATTTTCTTACCAGCAGACATTAGATGGAGTGTTATTTCCTTATTCGAAACACATCCACCTACTTCTCCTCGGTCTTTCTTGTGATTCATATGTATTACCATGCTCGTCTTTATGCTGTATTTGCCCTAATGTCTCCATCTCTATGGGTAAGGAGGTCGTTTGAACCAATTTAATTATATCCTGCTTCGCATTATCAATTTCTTCCAGTCTCAATCTACCAAGAATTAACGGCCTTCTGTCTAATCTCATCCTAATATTGTGAACGAACTGTTTACATAGAGCGAATATTCTCAGCATTTTGAACCAGGTATTACAATTACCAAATCGATCTAGAAACTCGTAATTGCATTTCGAGGATCCGAAATGTTCTGTGAATACACGAGCCACAGTGTTCTCACCCTTTACTAGGTTAAGCCACTTATCTTCTTCCTCCCACAGGAATAACGGCCCTTATAACTACTCCCTTATTTTAGCCTTATCACTTAGTGAGAGTCCACGTGACGCGTGATCCGTAGGATTCAGTTTACCTTTCACGTATCTCCATTGGTTCGGCGTAGACAACTCATGTTTAGCTTCTAACTTGTGACTCACAAACTTTTCAAACCTTTTAGTCGTATTTTTCATGCAATGAAGCACAATTAACGAATCCGTCCAATAGATGACAGACGAAACGGGGACATTTAACTGTTCCTTTGCATGCTTTCCAATCTTAGTACACAGAACACAGGTTGTTAATTCCATTCTGGACATAGTGACAAGTCTTAGAGGAACAACTCTAGACTTAGCTAGCAGAAATGAGTAATGAATCTGACCAGAAACACTTATAACGAATATACGTAAGAGCACGATACGCAACCTCAGAAGCATCGACAAAACAATGAATTTGAGCAGATGATGGTTCAAACCTTGGTTTCAGACATTTTGGTATTCTAAAGTAGTTCAACTCTTTCATATGTCTACACGAAATATCCCACTTTGCTTGACAATCCATGGGTAACTCTGCATCGCAATCTAGTTTCTGCCGACAGGAATCTTGTAAGATCACTCTGGCTGGTAGTATTATTGTGGCTACAAACCCGATTGGATCAAAGACAGATGCTACGTACGACAAATACAACTAGCCAACCTATTCTGGAACAGATGGTTACGGAGTAACTACCAACCCTTCAGGCGAGATCCAAGGGGTTGGACATAAGAAGAAGTCTACAAGCGGGAGACTTAGTGTTGGTAAATAACACTGGATCACCGAGAAATCTGTGGCCGAAAGCTAAATGTTTGTTCGCTTGCCTGTCTATTATAGCAGTTCACATTGGAATGACCCACACCTTGGATACTAACTCATTTTTATGCGTTCTCTCGAAATTGTTGGTAAATAATATTGGATCACCGAGAAATCTGTGGCCGAAAGCTATAGTTAGACAGGTCAATTATGGTCCAGATGGATGAGTCAGAATTGTTCGACTGAAGACAGCAACCGAAGAGATCAGCCGGGACATACGGAACCTGTGTCTACTGGAAGAGGCCGATTATTTGAGCGCGACGGTAACGAAGTCTGGACGTGGTGTCCGCTTGGGGGATGTTAGTTATGTCCATAACTAACCAATAGAATCGTTGTTTAAGCACCCACCACGATGATCTGGTCTTATGTGTCTGTAAACTATCCTCGTTGCATGTGACTTACCAATTGAAAGACATTATTACCCTATTATATTAGTGTGACTCATAATTTTATTCATTTCGATAAGACGCGCAATGCTGGTCGGTATGTTTGTGCGTTTCACTTAATAACTGTAATTTTCTTAATTATTGTACTGATCTAATTGTTTTTACGTTCAGAAACAGATAAAGTTTGAGGCCAGGTTGTCTTTGTTCTGACTATAGATTTCATATAGACTCTGTGATCGTCAGTATCGCGTTTACGGTTCCAATAGTATATCTGTAAGACAAATAAATTTCCACTGTAAATGTCCTTTTAAATTGATGTGTGAAAACAGTTCATACATTTTGCGCGTTATCGCTGTTGAAAGAATTCACGATATACATTGTCAATAAGAATAAACTTATTGAAGGAGTCTCACAAATAAAATTACTATTACGTATTGTTTTTTTCCATCCAGCTACTTCTATTACACAATAATCACATTTAAATACGAAATATCACTCCAACAAACTACTTACAAATGACTGCCTTCTGCTTGTACGGTAGATAGAACACTGAATGTATTTATCCACATTTCTTTTTCACATGATCCCATGTATCCAGAAATACGGTGAAATGTACGACTCTAAAAACAAGATTGAGCATTTTACATGAAAGAGGACAACGGAAACAAGTATTATAAATTATTTTGGAAATAAAACCGTGATTTACATACACATCACAACTGTGTAAGAAACATGATTCACATCCAATCAGATGAGAGGACTGTAAATTGTATTAGTCATCGCAAGAAATTTACATTTAGTTATCTATCATCAATAGCAACTATGCGATTCATACTACTCTGAATCATTTGTTTCCACGTTCAAATTGTGCTCAATCCACCTATGCATGGAGGACCGTGTACTATGATTAACCAGAACACAAATATTGTAGCACAATGCCAGCTATACGGACTTATATTGGGCATAAACAGGACAGGAGTATTGCCTTTTCCACTCCTTATGGTGACAGAAAAAGCGTTCTCGTCAAGAACAGTCTGCTCTGCTCTCTTACTGAAGCGACAAAGGTTTAAGTGACGGTGTGACTTAGTGCGTAATCAAAGGAGAAAATTGTGTTCTACTCACCATAGTTCCTTAGAATATGGCACTTCATAGTATTACTGTCCAGAAGACAAACTCTCACTAATAAGGATAAACATAAAACCACATTTATCCAACGAAATATGTTGTAGTAGTAACAGTTGAATCCTGATTATCCATATACGTACAAATTAATGTTGAGTGATAAAGATCTCTTCCTAGAGCGACTCATCGATATCATAGAAAAACAGTTATGCATAACTGTTGGGGACGATAGATCCCCAAAACTCAAATTTTGTAATTTACTTATCGATTAAATGTGCAGATAGGTCAATTGATGAACTATCGATTAAACGTAGAAATAGGTCAATTGATGAACTATCGATTAAATGTTCAAATAGCAGTCAATTGTTGATTAATGTTCAAAAATCTTCCATGACAATATCGATTGTAAATATTTGTATAAATACGCTTGATTTGTGTGCTTGACTTGACTTGTTATCTGCTGTTTGTCTGTAGAATACACTTTCTACACCTTACCCAGACTTTTTGATCGAGTTAGCAGAGTTGGGGACAACGGACCAGAATAGACTATTGAGTCTCTGAATACTTGATCCGATCGATAAGTCACTGTCATATAATCGGCAGTCCCTTTGAGGCATAACAATAACCCACATATTTCTTACATAAAACAATAATTTTACTTCACATCCAGCGCCTACTTTACAATGAGTCAAGAAAAAAGGAAGATTTCATTTTTCAAGAATTTCTCATTTGCATCAATAGGAAAATCGAGAAACGAATATCATTCAACAAAGTCTATAGAAACTCATGAAAAGTTTGAAAATGTTTTGCTAAATCGGCATTGAATAGAAGCTTCTCAGAAACATCTGGAAAAATGAAGGATCATGTACAACGCTTTGTTTGGGTAGCTAATTATACATTACCATATACTAATGTTTTCATTAGTTTGTAGAACACCAAAGTCACATCAAACTCTGTGAATGCAGTTAACTTCCCATACGTAGATTAAACTTGAAGTAAACATCTTACATGTACTTCGCCTATTTTCTCTATTCGTCAAATGTAGAAGTAGTCTGATGTTATAAGAAGCGCCCAACAAGTCAGTAACGGCCACTGTCAGACGTATTAGAAACCAACCATATACATAGCACTTATGCGAATAAATTAACTCAATGCTTACTTCATCAGTGTGTCTACATATAAAAGCCATGCCTGAACGTGTAGTGAAAACTCCAACAACACTGGCACCTATAGATGAGCACCATAAACCACTGGAACAAAATTTAGAAAATAAAATAACAATAGCATTACCTAAACATTTCAGGATGTTATGTGAATGGAAATAAGGACAAGCGTCATTATCATGATAATGAGATCTGGTTAACAGTTAAAAATTTAGTCCATACTAGTGTGGAGTGTACTATTCTATGCACAAGGCATCTAATGGCAAAAAATAAAGAAAATGGTATTCATTACCACCTGCCATCTTGTAGATTACAATTTTCCCAACCGTTGTTGCTACCTTGACGTGGTGGTCGGGCTTACTTATCGTGATGAAGCAACCGAGCCATACTGGCTGGAACAACCGTTCCTCAAGGTCATACCATGTCAGACAGGTCGGTTGAAGAGCATTAAGACTAGAAGCAACAAACCTAAGGTCCGAAGGTGAAGTTGTACTGCTGACTGTACAGAGGTGTGACAGCTGTAAGGTGTTTCCTTCAGACAACCAGCATGACAGCGATGCTGCCTTCCCACAAGGAGTAGTGGGGTTAGAAAAGGTCGACCCTAAAAACGCGCACCTCGCCTCATCCCAAGGATATCCGTCTCCGGTGGTAAGGTCTCAACATGTACGGAGCTAACACAAAAACTACCCATAACAAGGTCGTGTGTAACCGACCTCAAGCAGTTGTCCCTTGGGCACTGAGATCACGCTATCAGGTCACTAAGACCATCTCTAATCCAATTTCCTTTTCAGGCACCTCCAGAAGAACCCTTCCACGGTGTGGGGAACCAGGAATTGATAACCGCCCTCACACCTCTAACAGCACTCAAGACCACTGTATTCATAATCAACCTCCGTCTTCAATTCCTATTATTCCTCCTACATAGACTTACAACTCTAAACTTCCTCTTTCGGCTTCTTCCTCAAGTGTCACCACAGCCAACGATTCTAGTGCTCAAAACACTGTCCCACATCTACTGAAACCTCGCTCCAAACTACACATTGGAGTCTTCAACGTACGCACCCTATGTCAAATCGGTCAACAGGCTTCCCTGGCTAGAACCCTAGAATCTCGTACCATTGATGTATGCTGTGTCTCTGAAACACGCATACAGGATCCCAGTGTGGTCATTCACTTGACCTCACCTCGGCAAAACGGAGAGCCAACGAGATACACTTTCCGCGTATCTGGTGACCCGCTACACCAAACCAACGATGGACTCCAATACACCATATTGCCATCAGTCATCGTTGGAGAGGGTCGATAGAAGATTGTCGCTCATTCTGGAGTACCTGCTTGGACTCCGATCCCGCCCTAATACGGGTATGCATCTGCTCGCGCCTCACTGGACGCAAAAAAGCCTCAGTAAAAAGACCCATTACAACTGAATTGAGTAGCGAGAAAACCAAAAGTAGGTTTCAGGAACAACTGAGGTCACAATGAGGTAGTTCTGAAAACGACTCTGACCCAAATGTTGCATCGAAAGATATACAAACAGCTGTGGAAACAGCAGTGACATCTATCAGTGATTTAAACCACAGGGTTACAAAGAACCAATGGATTTCTTCAAGGTCTATTGCACTGATGGATTCTCGTAAACTCATCCCATCAGGCTCTGAACACGATGAAGAGCGTAAAGAAATCAGATCTAGGTTAAGCAAAAGTTTAAGGAACGACCGTGAGTAGTGGTGGGCAACGAAAGCAAAAGAGATGAAAAAGGGGGCGGCTATAGGAAACACAAGACAGGTCTACAGACTGATAAAAGAAACTGGAATTAATAAGTCAAGTGTAAGTCAGACTATTTCGGAAAATAACGACACTCTCATCTGCTCCCAGTCCAGACGTTTAGAACGATGAGCGGAACATTTCAGAGAACAGTTCAGCTGACATTCAGCTACTCTATAACTACCCTCCATTCCCAGACAGTGTGAATGGAACATTGAAGTAGGTCCCCCAACTCTAGCTGAAGTTCAAAAGGCTATAGTTAATCTGAAACGAGGAAGGGCAGCTGGTCCAGATGGACTGGCTCCAGAGGTCTTTAAGGATGGTGGTCCAATTTTAGCGATTAGGTTGACTAATATTTTAGCTAAGATCTGGGAGTTAGACGTTATTCCATCTGACTGGTCACAATCACTTATCGTCCCAATATATAAGAGAGGGTCAAAATCATCCTGTAACAACCATAGAGGGATTAGTTTAACTAATATAGTATCTAAAATACTAGCCTCGATAATTATCAGACGCCTAACTAAGACTCGTGAACTGCAAACACGAGAGAATCAAGCTGGCTTCAGACCTGGTCGTGGATGCATCGACCACATATTCACCATTCGTCAGGTTCTAGAACACAGGCATACTTATCGGCGTCCGACAATGGTGGTCTTTCTTGACTTAAAAGCAGCATTTGACTCGGTAGACCGCGAGATTCTGTGGCAGTGTCTGTCATTGAAAGGCGTACCTCAGAAGTACATAAACCTTGTGAAGGCTCTTTACTCGAACACTACCAGTCGAGTCAGAGCTTATGGCGAACTGTCATCCGCTTTTGCAACTTCAAGTGGTGTCCGTCAAGGCTGTACACTTTCTCCATTTTTGTTTAACTTCATCATAGACCTATTGATGGAAATAACATTCTCGTCTACTGAATTCTCGGGTATTGATCTCCTTCCAGGAGGTCCACTTATCGACTTAGAATACGCAGATGACATAGTCCTGTTTGGTGAAGACGCTGATAAAATGCAGTCTTTTGGTAGCACTGAGCAACAATGCCAGAATGTTTGGAATGCGCTTCTCCCCCTCTAAATGCAAGTTGTTGCTTCAGGACTGGCCTGCGTCAACACCTGAACTAAGGATAGGGAGTGAAGTAGTTGAACGCGTTGACAACTTCACTTATCTTGGAAGTCTGATCAGCCCTAATGAGTTGGTGTCTGACGAAATCTCAGCACGGATTCAAAAAGCTCACTTGGCTTTTGCCAACTTACGTCACCTATGGCGAAGGCGAGATATCCGTCTATCAATAAAAGGACGAGTATACTGCGCGGCAGTCCGTTCTGTTTTAATTTACGGCAGCGAAACATGGCCATTAAGAGTAGAAGACACTAGTATTTGACCACAGATGCCTCAGAAATATTGCTGGCGACTTCTGGGATCACCGGGTAAGTAATAGTGCGGTTAGACACAGGGTATTAGGGAATGATGGTAAATCAGTTGATGAGGTTGTGAATCTTCATCGACTGAGATGTTTGGGCCACGTGTTACGTATGCCTGAACACCGATTACCACGACATGCAATGCTAACCGGTGTGTGGAGATGGTTGGAAGAAAGTTGGTGGCAGCCAGACCAAAACGTGGCATCAGTGCTTGAAGTCACTAACTTCTAGTCTGAGCCATGCTGGTAAATGCAGACTACTTGGTTGGAGTCCGCGTGACTATCGTAACCAATGGTTAGATAATCTTGGTGACATGGCTCATAATTGATCACAATGGCGTAGGTGTATACACTCTCTGTCTTCCCTTAAGCTAAGAAATTAAAATCGCTCCATAACTTTCTTTCTACGAACTAATTATTTCTTCCTGCACTATATCCTTATTGCAATCTTTCTTTTATATATTACCGCCTCTGAATTAACTACTTTCATGAATCCGGTGTTCATCTTGTTGTGTTAATGAGGTATGGCAACATGGACCGATACATATATGTGCCTGGTCCTACGTTGTAACTGACAGCACACGACATCTTATGGCAAAAAATAAGGAAAATGGTATTCATTACCACCTGCCATCTTGTAGATTACAATTTTAGGACAAAACTTCGAATGATTGTCCTCAGAGTAGTCCATAAAATTCAGTCTATGCGCACAAATATTCACACATATTACAATGGTACGAAATACTGGTAAGTCTATAGTAAACACTTGGTTAAAAACTTTATATCATAATACACAAAACCATTTTGTATTAGTGATTTCAATTTAATTCTATATTTTACTCAGAAACTCATTTCTGTTAAAAAGTTTTATTGAAGGGAACTTTAAACACTGACAAATAGCCTGCCCATTTTAAATAAAGAAGTTGTTTCATCCATTCATGACCAACTTGTTTTCCGATTTATCTGTAACAAAAATACGTGGTGCAAGTGACAATGAACACTATGCCATTCCGCTACCAATACTCGTCAGTTTCCATCTATAAGCATGTTACATGCGTTGAACGGCAGAAACGTGAAGCATTGTTACATGGCTTGTAAAACACTCTACATCCATTCATCTTTAGTGGTTAGACTTTACAAATAATAGTGTGGTTACCTATGGCTTTGTGACAGGAGAAACCTATCCTGTGTAGCGTACGATCAAGTGGTTTATGTGAATCTCAGTAATACATAGCATCGTCGTAACATCAGTCTAGTCATAAAAGGTTGGATACACAATACAGTGGTGTGAGTAGTTCAGATCTACTCTTGACAAAACTAGAACATCTTAGCTCAATATGCTAAACATTTCATTGAGTTAGCTGGTTGATGTCCACAACAAACTTTTGGTACTCCATAAATATGCTGTGTTTCGAGACCATTAAATAAATGATACTATCATGCGACACGAGTTTAGGTGGGTCGAACACTTATCACCCAATTTATTCAACACTCTTTCATGCTGGACACTAGTCACAGATGTTGCGACTTGGTAAGACGAAAGTGGAACATGGTTACTTTCTGATATAACACTATCTGGGCATCTTCAACTGATAGAAATAATAATTCTTTATTTATGCTCTAATATGTTCTAATATTTGATAAAAATCTTTATGAAAAAAAATACGCATAGAAGTTCAACATTGTTCCATCTCAACAAAATTACAACTTACTTTTCTACAATACATTGATCAAATGAAAACTTTTCATGTTCATTACTCGTCAAAACAATTACATCACCATTGACGAGGACAGCAATAACTTCACATTGTTCTAATTCATTAGGTTTAGCATAACGTGGAGATATTTTTACAATAGGATGACTTGCAGTGAAGCTAATTTATGCGTACAAAGTAACAAGAAACAAATTAACAATTCAAATGAACATACTATTGACTTATAAAGTCAGACATCTCAATAAATAAATAAGTGTAAACACAGTTTAAAAATTCTAAAAACTGTCAAGTACTTCGATGCCTTTTGTTAACTGATCTATAAAAATGACAACAATTGGTACCTGGAATCAAATCTACGACTACGCTGAATATTATCTAGGGACGCTGGCGGTCCGAAACTGGGGTAAAGGAGAAGAGTTAGGTGTAGGATTACCAACACTACCACGCCATAGGAAAAACCCTAGTAAGATAACGTTACCCGCAGAAAACCAATTAAACTTAGTTCTGAGAGGAAACGGTCTTCACATAAAAAGCTACGATTCCGTATGATGAAGGTTAGATTACTCCGGAAGACCTAACAACGACATCCATCTTCCAACAACGTTGAAAATGATTCATTCTCTACTCTGATCACAAGACCGAATCAAGTCATTACAAAGGTGATTAAGACAGTCATAAAATTACCTCTAATGAAACAGATTATCTGTGAACAAAAATGTTTCCCGTTTCTTTATTGTCTTAGACTACACATACTACTCACATTCTGTATTTGCAGAGACGTATGCGATTGTGGTCAAAGTTAAACTGAATGCTTGAAAGAGAAAACAGAATTATTCACTAAATCAGTTGAATTTACTCATTACCCCATTCATCTGTTGATAAGACATATTCAGCATACATCGTCAAATAAAATGTGAAAATCTCTGGTCACTGACTTACTTCAAATGAAATTAGGAGGTCAACATACACAACTGTTACATCTTCTGATTAAAGAGAAACAACTACTAAGCAGACAGAATAAACTCAAGGTTTCTGGACCCTGTAACAAGCAAGCAATAAATAAATCAATGAAATGGAACTCAGTGAAGCACACTAGTCCCATATCGGTCTGTTCGAAAGACGTCATGACAATCGTAATATAAGATTCGTGAGGAAAATCATCTCTTAATGAAGGTCATCAACATTCAGTGCCTAATTGGAAAACTATTTACGGTGTAAAAAATCCAGTACAATTAAAATCATTGCACTAAAACCGACAGGACTTTTTCTTTCCACTAATTTATACTGTGCAGAGAGGGATATTACAAGTCGAACTTAAATAGTCATTTACCAAGCTCCGCATTCCCTTAGTCAATAGATGAAGATATATCAAAAATGGATTTCAATTCAATGTAACAACAAAATGAAACATGAATCACCTAGCAATATCAGAACAAGGAATATCTAATTCAGATGACCAGAATACATCTAATTCTGCAAAATGGAGTTCTGTTTTCCCATTCATAGAGAACAATCGTTCAAAAGTATTATGTACATCGTTCATAGACATATTAGACTGATCCAATATAATTCGCATTCTCCATAATTTTTCACCGTAAGCAATATAAATCAAATATTGCACTGTTCGTTTCGATTCATCCATCACATAAGTTTGTGTAGCAATATCGGATATTGCATATTTTGGTCGTAACGCTGAACAAAATCCATGTAATAACGGTTTCCATTCTATAGACTTGTTATTTGTCAAGTCTGCAACTGACACATGTTTAAGATCCAACGGCTCGGAATTCTTAAATGACCAAAACATTACACTCCCATCCATACAACCTGATATACAGATACTGTAGTGATCTGTAATTTTTAATTGGCCCAAACATGTGATCGGTCCAAAATGTTGATTTGGTTGATCTAAATAAAATAACAAACGACTAACAAGTACATTAGCTTTATAAAACCTAATCATGATTAAATGTTTGTAATTTCTATGTTGTTAAGATAAGGTTTTGTGGAGATCTCAAGTTTCATATGACGGACTGGCTTTAGTTAGCTAACCACTGAAAACAACCAAGTATTCGATCGCTAATATCAGGTTTTCCAACTGTACAAACAGTCGGCATCTACAATCTGATTATAAAGTGAAGCGACGATGATTACACATGGTGGTGAGCGATATCACTCGAACAAAAACTATACACGTTATTCAATCCCAAATCACTAATCACAACAGTATGAAATGACTAACAAAGTACCAACTTATATAGGGAAACATTTCATATTGTGATGATAAAACTGAAAAAGATTGGCTTAAAAGTTTCTCTTTCCATCTTGTACATATACATTACTGAAATGAGATTGGAAGTTGCTCCTTATAACTAAAGCAATTCGATCATCATCAGCACAGACTTCTTTGCTAACCATTACTGTCATTCCGCAATGAATCAAACCGATATGTACAGTTTCTTGATTTCTTTAATACACGAATGGGACACCTATTCTCTACCAACTGTCATTACCATGTAGTCACAGTGACCCCAGCATTGTCAGGTTGTATAAGTTAGGATGATTTAAGTGTTTTGGAACTGAACTATACAGCTATTATAAGTCACTATTTTCACTCCTTAATTTAACAAAGGTTTAGACGCCGTTTCTGGATAGAGTTCACACAATCGGAATCCATAAGGACGTTAACAATAAAAGTAACCAAATCAAGTAAATCACAGTTAATGAAACAATTCTTTTAAACCAGTAGGCCGAAACACGCTGAAGCACGATCGTGTAAAGATGAAGTGACCTTTGAAATAATTTATTTAAACCAAACTATGCCATGTTTTGATACAATGATAACTTGTTATAAGAGATTGAAGTCCATTATTAACACAATGTTTAGTCTCTTTAAAATCTGTGATTAATTCATCTTAAAAGTAAATATTACAAGCACATAAAACTGGTTTTGTGGTGTGAGCTACTTATACTGATATAAGTAGTATATAACGTGCGTTTAAAGAACGTAATGTCCGGCAGCAGAAGATGGCGAAGATCGAGAAAGGAAGAGCAAGAGCACAATGGAATTGTAAGAAAACGCATGTACAATGGAATGGGCGACAATGGATTAGTGTTTGCAACGGGAACAGTACAGTTTGATATGATGGAATGATATTTTGCAAATTGACGATTGACTTTATGGTATTCACATTTTATTGAGATAGTCTGTAATCTTTGTGCTAAATACAATCGATTGTCCCCACCCGTGTTCTTGTTCACTACAGTTTCATACTAAATCTATTTTTAAATATTTTTAACAAAATAATATTTCATTTACACACAAATTTAATGACAAGTTGAGCTACGTACAAACGATATTATACATTCCTCTAGTAAAACAAACGCATCTTGCGAACTTGGATTTCAAACAAGTCATTGTAAAATTCTCAGTCAGATTAGTAAAGTGACTATCTAAAATCTTTACAACAAACATCCTTAATATTCATTTCCAACTGAGATCATGTGTTGCATATTCTAGCCATATTAATTAAGTCAACAAAGTTGAACAGTCGGCATTAGTGGAATGGTTTTATATAAGATTGAATCCCGTGTTTAACATAATAGCAAAGTAAAACGATCTGTTCATGGAGAAAAACGGAATATCCACAAACTTTACACTCTGCAAGTAGCCTGAAGATGTAAGTTTCAAAACAACTCAGCTGATCTCCTGTGCTGTAACAAGGAGAATAAATTAAGTAAATATGGATAAACTAACAGACTAATTGCTGATGGCTATGATCAAATTCCAGTCTCAATTATCAAATTGATATTTATCATATTCAACAAACGATACCCTGTGATGTGGCGTAATGTGACCGAGTAGCTAAACACAATTTTGACTAGTGAGATAGAAAACCCTTGCTAGATCATTAGAAAAGCAAGGTAGGCAAGGGTATCTATCTATCTACAAATCTATCATATGTTTACTGTAAGATTCACAAACATTATATTGTAATGAGAGTGTTTAGGTCTGACTGTGTTTGGACGACTGCGGAAAGCACCGTACACACTGATCAGATCAAAATACTATTCAATACAACGTAATTCAATAAAACCGAAAACGATAATTAATGCTTACAATTCAATAGTTTCCTTTTCGAAGGTATACTCCAAAGACGAATATCACAACCGACATCACACACAGTTCGACCAGATGCACTAGCAACTATACAATCTTCATCACTATTAGTGGTACATCCAGAGGTCAGCGCACATGGAACAAGACCTGAGTGTCCTTTCAATGTACCACGATATTGTAGAATGAATGGTGCAAATATTCGATAACAAAAATCTTGAATAACTTGTGAGCAATCAGACGATTTATTGCATGATAATCTAACACCATATAATAAACGACACGTTGCATCATATGATGTATCTCGATAAACTATGTATCCTTTTTTACATGAATTCAACAAATGAAATTGTTCATCTTTCAGATAATCAGTAGCAATAAAATATGTTTTATTTTCCTCTTCAATATCAATATGTATTTTGTAACCACATTCATAAATTTTTTGATCAGAACCTGTTACATAACTATTACTGTTTGACATGCAACATCCACTAAGTGAAGTAACCTCAGAATCCGGATCCTTCACTTGATCATCAGATTCAGTATGTTGGTTATCAGCTTTGGATATCATCAATTTGTCGATTGTTTCAACAGTTGGATCGTACAGTGTTCGTTCAACTAAAATTAACATAGAGAATGTTGACAGTAAGAAAAAGTTGAGGAATTCGTTAAGTATGAAGTACAAAATAATAGATCGATCGTATTAATGTAACGGTCATAATTAGTCTAGAATTTGTTATGCTTGTTCTATGAGTTTTCATCATTTAAAGTACATGATAGATCACAGGTGATCAGTTGTGACTTTAAATTATGAAAAAAACATGTACACACAATTTCAATGACACTACTACCAAGAAAAGTAGAAGCGAAGCTAGAACCTGAGACTTAGTAGCTGAAAGTCTGATGACAGACAATGGTGATTAAAGAATCCACATATTACAACTACTTTTCATATAGAACAGACTGTAATACCATTGGACTGTGGAAAATTATGAAAAGAAATAGTAGACGAGCAGCAAATCTTAAAAACACTTACACTTCAAGGGATCATAACCAACGAAGAACATGAAAAAGCTGGTCAAATAATATGATTCTTCCAAAGTGCTATTATTACTATTATTCTTTGACGGCATATCTGTGCAGACATTGAGACGATGAGAGAATTGCAAAGCACCATGTTTATCATGCTTCCAGACACTAACTTCACCATCATCCGAAGCAGCTAACAAATGATTCGACTTAGTATATAGAAAAATAGTGAGATGGAATCAATATTTAGCATAAATATATGGAAGATATAACGATTAATTCATTAAGTATGTTTTCGAAGCATCATATAGAACCTCCTCGAGAGTTTTCAGCACTTAAGTGGAAGATACTGTTAGAAGGAAATAAGTCAATTCGATTGTAAACGTTTTGTAGATATTCACTTGTCAATTCTTCAAAATTAAATGGTAATTGTTAAAGAGAGCGGATGGAATTAAGCTTCATAACAATGAAAATCAAGGTACTGTTTGCATTGCTCTATCTGAGATTCAAAAAGATTTCTAACTGGTAATTAATCATAGTAATGAAATACAGAAGGTACATTTCGTGAACTCGTTAGCTAGATGCATCTGCATCCTGGCGTTGATGTTCACGCCAAGACTCGAACCCAGTACCGTTCGCCTCAGACTCCATCGCGTTATCCACTTACCTACCGAGTATACCTCTGGGGTGCAGGAACACACAGATGACCAGTCCAAAATTAGACGAAATGTGCATCCTGAATCTCATTGCTAGACATCATCCATTTCTGAACATGACGACCGATTCGGTTAGAAAACAATCATGAAGAAAATTATAATTAGCCAGATCAGTTAAGTCAAAGATTCTTGGTAAAGTTGAGGAGTAAAAAAGAGAAATATTTTCAGTTCAGTTATTTTGACCGAACTCACACCATGTTCCATAAATTTTATAGGAGATTTATTTGCATCGAATGTTTGTTTCAATTGGAACTTTTTATCAATTATTGCGTAATTATGCAGTAGACTATTACTATCACCAATATACACTGATATACTGATTGTGTCCACACCAAGGAACATACGTAATAAGTAGAAAGAAGTGATTGGAGCTGTTCCAACATCATTGATTAAATGCCATAAGGTTACAGTACGTTCTAATGGATCGAATTTATACAACGCCAATTGCTGCAATACAAAATATAGAGGTACATTATTGAATAAAGAAAACAGTAAAAGGCTGTAACAAAACCCATTACTCATTGAGAAATTTTGATGAAAACAATGAGACTTTTGGATAGTAGACTTGTATTTTAAGTGACTAGGCATGTGACAACTGAATGTAACTAGTAACTAATGATGGTATTCAAACGTAGACTCGGACGCATCAATTATTGTCCCTAAATTTATGGCGCTCACTCAATAACAAAAGTGGTGAGACTATGATTTATGGACAACCTAATCAGACTTAAGATAGCAGATTTTCGATTTTGACGTGAAATTCATTTACTTATTTGACTAAACACCATTTCGGCATTATAGCTGATGTCAGTTCATGATGAAAACATCAAATCTACTTCTTAGCCCGAACGTTCAACTGTAAACCCTAATCCTAGTTCTTCACACTAATATATAACCCTCATTTAACCCTAGTATGTAGGTGGACATTCCAACGTCATTTTAGCGTTGTTCAAAGGTCCGTAAATTGTAGTCCCATCACGAATGTAATAGCCCTTTTTAAAGGATATGATGTTTATTATGATTTGTAAAGCTTCACATTTCTATGTTGTTGATGTGCACAAGAGGATTCAACCGGTCCCAGTGCTACGGCGATCACAAGAATAATCAAATTTTACTGGAATTGCTAAAATTTCTTCAGAAACGATAACCGCTTGCACATGCTTCTCTAATTCGATTTCCCGCATGACATTTGACCTCCGATTGCTTGTCGTTGTTTCTAGATCTCTGAATTTATGCATGCTTAAAGTTCACATTTTGCTACTATAATAACAAACCCGAGAATACCCTGGCACGGCCGAGAGTGGGGAGAGTCAGCTCTCCTTCTCGAAGTGCCCTCACATAGCCATGTGCATACAAACTGTCGGAAAGTCCTATTCACTGCCTTCTTGCAGGAAGCGTGTTGTTTACGAAATTGAGAGGACAGAAAGCGAATGTCCGGCGTTTTAACCGGGTTCGTGGACATGGATGGTTTACCTAGGGGAATTGGAAAACCCTGATTCCAAACCAGTGGTGCACATGGGCTCCAGTATCTTGAGGGAAAAAATGGCGTATGAACCAATTGTTAGTCACCGGCTACCATGGGACTGCATCTCCTCACAATACTCCACTGCCTTGTGGGTCAGACCTTTAGGTCAAAGGCTCGGGGTGTGACCCACTAAGAAAACCACTTGCTTCGGTCTGGGCACCCAGGCAGTATCAAAGCTCACACACAAATAAAATGAAACTACAATATTTACTAGAAATACTGTTATTGTTCCAATTAAAATTCAGACAATTCACATTCAATTTTACTTTTCTTTTTCTTGATATACTACGTCACTTATCTACTCTCTTATTCCCACTTTGTGTATCCTTACTTTTCAGATTATACAACATCTCGCCTATGGTGGAAACTCTGTCCTACCTAAACGATCTCGAGTCACTGACTAGTCGAAAGCTGGATGCTACCACCGAATGTGAATACTGAAACAGTCTTTCTGAAACCACTTATACCATTCACACTGACTGCCTTCAACGTTCACTCACTAATGCCAATCGGACAACAGATAGGGTTACGTCTTTAGAAAGTTTTAATATCGACATTTATTGTCTATCCAAGACATGTATTCAAGACTTTAATGAAGTACTATAAATACAGTCTCCATTCGTCGTTTCAAAAAGCTTGTTTTACGTGCGTTTATCAGGGGACCCTGTGGCATCTTCGTCTGGTCTTGCTGGCGTTGGTGTCGCACTAAGAGCTAGAGCTGAGGTAGCACTAATCGATTGGATCCCCATCAACAGTCGGTTATGTGCTGTTAGATTAGAAAGTTCCATCAAAGTGAGAAGAAATCGGTGTGAGAAACAATGTCTTTTCGTCATCTCCGCCTATGCCCCGACAGATTGCAGCCCGGATGCAATCAAGGATGAGTTTTACCACCAGTTATCTGTTCTTACCCAGAAAGTGCGTTCGACAGATATTGTAGTACTAGCCGGAGACTTGAATGCTCAGGTCGGGCGTCTAGGCACAGAAGAGAGTCGTTTAGGTGGCCGATGGGGACTTGTTGGTCGCAGGACAGATAACGGGAACCATCTACTGCAACTATACACAGGCCACAACCTGTTTCTGCCTAGCACTAACTACCGGCACAGTCATCGCTGATGTGCCACCTGGCGCCCTCCTTCTGTATCTCAAGCCTGGACTCGGATTGATCACATCGCGATCAGCTACCGCTGGCGTTGTTGTGTACAAGACTGCCGCTCATTTTGGAGTACCTGTCTGGAATCAGATTATGCCCTGATCTGCGCCAATCTTACCTTACTTTTCAGTGGCCAACGAATTGATCGTCCTAAACGGATTAATGTCAGTAAATTGGTTGCAGCTTCTGTTGTAACTTAATATCAAACAGAGCTAGCTTCTAGGCTAGCTACCATTCCACCGAAAAGTATAGATGAGCATTGGTTGCAATTGCATGACGCCATGAAAATGGCGGGTACAGTCAGTTGTGGGTTCGCGAAACGTCCCGCTTGTAAGCACTGGGTTTATTCTGATTCCTTACAACTCATTGAAGCCCGTTGGTTTACTCCAGGTGACCGTTTGACCAAAAGCGACGACTGATACGCAATGAAATTGGGCAAAGCTTGAGTAAGGACCGAGAAGCCTGGTGGTCGGAGTGTGCAAATGTGTTGGAGGCAGCAGCTGTATCTGGTAACTGCCAGAAGCACTTTCAACTCATTCGAGCCACTGATTGATGTAGGTAATGGCGGTGTGGATCTGTTGCCTGGAGAAAGATTTCTCGACCTTGAGTATGCGGATCATATTGTCTTACTGTGCGATAATGCCCAAGCCATGCAATCCGCACTTAATCAGTTGGCAGTCAATGTCCGTAGGTATGGTATGTGCTTTGCTCCTTCGAAGTGCAAAGTACTTCAACAAGACTGGCAGGATTCTAATCCTGTACTCACCCTGGATGGTGAGCAGATAGAAGTAGTCGAGAATTTCGTGTATCTAGGTAGCTGCATAAGTGCTGGTGATTTAATGTAAACTCAGAAACTATAAATGTAAGTGGAACACGTTCACTATTAGGAACTCATTAGTTGTAGAGGTTGGAATTTTCAAAACAATCAGCTACAACTAAACTGAGTAAAAGGTTTCCTAAAACATGAAATTTATTTTTCCCATGTTTTCAGTATAGATCAACAACTGGATAACATAGTTATTTAAATATTATCAAACACAAGTACTGTCATAGAAATCTCAGCCTTATCAAATAATGGTGTAAACCACCGTATGCATAGCTTACTCTGCTTTTAGAAGCTGTCGCGAAAAATTTGCTATCCATACTAACAGCGATTACTGCAGAATTGTGTTCTTTCAGGCAAACAGACTTCTTAATTTTACTACCAGTCCGTCGACCAATAAAATGAACCCATGTCTCAGCATTCCCACCTCCAGTAACAGCTACACAGAAGTCACTTGCAACACATAATGTCCCTTCATTTTCCCGCACTCCACCATTCACATTATGATTTATACAATGTGACCATAAAGTATCAATGAGTTGGAATTGAAACTCTGACATGGCATTTGCCGACTGATACACATAACGATCTTTGTATGGACTAACTTTTGGTCTTAAAATGCATAGAAATATCTAAAAGAAAGTATAGTTCGAAAAGACGAATAAGCAATGCAAACTCGTTACATTTCAATTCATAAATATGAGTGTATTGTATACAATCAACTTCGATAAATCACCAATTAATAAACAAAAGCATCAATTTTCATCTTGTAGATCACTTAAATTGCACAAAATTAAAAATCAACTACTATTCAGCTGATATTATAAAGAATGACCGAGTTTAAAAGAAATCCAGTTTACCAGTCAAGTTACCACAACTACTTAAAAACCACATAAATTCTCAGTGAGGTTATGCATCACTTGGGAAGTGTAACAGTCAAAGTGATTGGCATAACATGTAGAATAACGAATTTTTCACTCAGTTGCAACGTAAAACCTGGTATGCATGTAAACCGAGTTAAGTCGCCATTTTCGTGGGGCAAGGTGAGATGTGATGTTCTCAGGGTCGATCTATTTATTGTGAGATAGTAGCGATGTTTGCAGACGCTAGCAACAGAAGGGAAACACTCTACTGCTGACACTCCTCTACAGCCAGAAGTACCACTTTACCTTAGGACCTTCATTTTTTGCTTTCAATTTTACTGTGCTTCAATCGACCTGGTTGGCATGGTGTAACCTAAAGGAACGAGTGTTTCAGCCGATAAACTTCGACTGGATCATTACAACAACCAGCCCCGACCACAACACCAAGGTGGAAGCCACAGTCAGAGTTTTTAACAATACACTGATCAATATAAAGAACAATTATGGTTCATTTATACATAGTAATCAACGAATTTTGTACTCATTTGTACAACCTACTCGTACAGCGCCAGATGCATAACCAACAATAATATGATATGCATCAAATGCTGAACAAGATCTTGCACAACTGCTTGTAATACACTGGATAGATGAATTATCTTCTGTTGCTGCTTTCAAATAATGAATTAATCTACCGTCAAACACACGAATAACAGTCAGATCGCCATTACTCCAACCTATTAAAGCATGTTCGTAAGTAAACAACATTGTCACATAAGTTACATATGTAGGATTTCCTGAACCTATTTGAGGTGGTTTTACATCAATCCATGGACCTATGGAAAAAACAAGATAAATAAAGTGAACGAAAATGGATAAGGCTCTTTTATGTTAATTACAACTGGTTGATAAATGTAATTAAAAAAATGTACAAATGTCTTCAATAAGAAGAAATCAAATCCGCCATAGATTTACAATTTAAAAATGAAGTAAAACTGTAAACTCATTAACAAAGTAATAAATTATATATTTTTAACAGGCAGTGAAGCTGAGTGACTCGGGATCGAATCACTTGGAGTAAATCAATCCCCTCAAAGTTACAGGTATTCCCTGCTAACCAGTGTCGAATAGCACGAAACCCAGGTTCATGATTTCCTGACGCCTACCTTCAACTTTCTAATACCTCGACATAATGCAAGCGACGTTTGGTCACTCAGACTAGTGGCGATATTGCAAACTGATCAATAGAATTCGATCAGCACAAGAAAACTAAACCGTACAGTTCCTCTAAGAATTCCTCAATAAGGCTTTTAGAGGTTAGGAAAGGACTGAGAATAATTTGTCCATTCAAGTGGCAGATTGATTATATACAGACATGAACGAACAATTGTATGATTTTTATTACATATAATTCTTCATACTGATTGGTTTTCATTGATTAACTGCATTACATAGTCAGAATTATACTACTGAACCAATATTTATAAAACATATTGCTTACAAAAAATATGACATGTTGACTGAATGAATTCAATGTGACCTTGGCAGATTCCATTGACAAGACGCTTAAAATACTGATTTTCGCATCCACAAAGTTCATAACAGATAATACAAATTTATATACTGGATAAAAGACAGTAGGATCATAAAATGATACAAATCAAATAGAAGTAAATGATGTGTGGAATGAAATAAACATTCAAGCTTGACAAATTCATTTATTTATTTTTAAGAGGTAAAAGTATTGCTATTCCAAGGTACAGAAAACTAAAGTCAACACTCACCAAAGGTTCCCCATAGTCCAGTATCCCATATATTAATGTAATTATTCAAAAATTGGCCACCACCTGACTGGAAAATGTACTGACCATTTGGTTTCGAAAAGCATATCTTCCCATATTGGTTTGGAATTAATTCATCAGTTTGATCATATGGGAAATACTCAATTGTAAAACAAGAGTCTTCTTGTATTACACCACCTTGATACCAAAGTATGTCATCGTTCCACAGCATTAATACACCATCTTTATCAAACGTTGCTAATATATTCCCTCCATTTGGTGAGTAGGCGAGTGAGCAGAGTGACGTTGATGCAGATAGCGACTATTGATAAAATCAAGAGACAAAAATATGAATGGCTGATATAGAAATCTACCTCTGTCAACGAATATCACATTCTGCCTATTAGGGGTAAAGAAAATACTCGATTGGCCAAATCAAAGTGGAGCATGCGGTGAACACCAGAATTAGTGGCTAAAAGTCGGACGCATTCACCACGGAGCCACCACTCTACAAACAACAACACAATGTAAGATTTGTTAACTTACCCTCACAATAGATAAGGAAGATAAATTGTAGAAATGTATTGTACCATCCCAACACCCTATAGCCAAATCATCGTGTATTAGGTCTTCTTGTTCATTGCTTAAAACAGATGGCAATCGAAACGCAATTGAAATAATCGGATAACTGGATACATTTATTGACTTAAATGGGTGAAGCTTTACAGGACAGACACTTGTCGATAGCTCACTGGATTTAACATCAATTTCTGAAACATCCCATAAGTAAACCATACAGTCTAAATCACCGGTAGCAACCAGTCGACGTCTAGGATGCCATGCAGAAGTAGTTACACATCGACGATGATATCCACATAACGATGCCAATTGTGAAATCACTGTTTTGTCATGCACTTTAGATTCAACATTGTGAATCACGGTAGACGCATCCCAGATATAAACATCACTATCTTCTGAGGTACTCATTAACCGAAGTTCTGAAATGAACTTTTCGGGAGATTTTATATTTTTAGGTTTACTGGGAAATTCGTCAAGGAAACATAAACTTTGAACGCTTGAACGGTGTCCAGTTAATGAGCACAGTTCCTGAAATAAAGTAACAAGGAGACTTTTAAAATTAAGAAACAATTACTCGAACAATACTAATAATAACAAAAACAGACTGATGGTTAAGCCTCTTATTTGAATCAGAAAAAACGAGACAATCTGTTCCATGTTAGAACAATAGAAATTTACAAGAGAACTCACACGCATAGTGGACAATTCTACGAATGTAATCGTACCACACCTAGTTCCATACACCAATACTTTAGCAGTTGAATTCATTTCCACAGATGTTGGCACATCCATGGAACCATTCAAAGTCACAATTGGTTTATGTGTTATATTCCTTTGCATAGGTTTAATCAATGCGCATTTCGGTAAATTTACACGGAAGAGTATTTGACTATTGTTCATGTTTAATTGCCTTTGTACACTGAAATCATTAAGATACAACAATGAAAGGCCTAACGTATAGATCCATTCACTGGAATCTTGGTTGATAGCTAATTCACAAAACGAATTCGGATATCTATCGAGTAAGAGAATAAAAGGCCTCATTTTAAACAACAATAGTAATATTTTTATGTATTAATAAGAATAATTCGCAAAATTTAAAGTAACTACTGAATGGAGTAAATCATCAATCCGATTACATTCCAATCCGAATGTTCACGTTGTAATGCACTTGATAGGTGACTCAAGATGATGTACTGTAAATACAGACATCAATCAGACATCCTAATTAACGAACAACCTCACTCTCCATACCAATTTATTTCAGAACATCTACTTTGAACAAGTAGTACAATAAACCCTGATACAATAACTAAGCGTCACAATTGTCCACAATTGTACACGAATATTTACATGGTCAATTAATGATATACATAAATATGAAACTTACTTTACTAAAAATTCATAGTTTACACAAACAAACGTTTTCATCGCATCAATTTTGTCAATAAAAGGACATAATTCCAGCTTCCTTTTCCACTTTTCTTGTATACATCGATCAGTCGTAGCTGCGAAAACAAAATTAATTCGAACACAATTCAATTAGTAATGACTAAAATAATTTATGAATAAAAACTGGATTTTAACGAAAACTTGGGTTGTTGTTAGATTCTAACCAATCGCTTTCTTTGGACAATCGATTCAAGTCGTTGATCATAGAACAACCTGAAAAAGATGTTTTTATTCGTGAGTTGGCTAGAGTACACCCAAATTAAACCAGTGCCTAATAGTCGCACTTTTTAATGAGACGTTGTAAAAATCGCCATCAGTCAGCGACATAAACATACTTTGAAACAAAATACTAGCATAATGAACATATATTTTGATAAGTATTGCTAATTTGAACGCTTTATTCGGTTCCTAAGCTATTCTGGTAACCCGCAAGCTAGAACTACGCAGCGAACTGAACACGATAGATAAGGCGCAAACTAAGCGAAAAGCACTTTACTCCGAAGGTTCATTTTTGTACAGAAAAACACGAGTATTTATAGATTTTTAGCATTTGTCAAATCAGCATCATATTTTGGCTAATCCACTAAGAGACATATTATGCTACTGACCAATAGTAGCATACCACGTTAATGTTCTAGAAAGCCCACTCATGCTCTGATTGGCTGAAACTCTTCGGCTCCTTCAGGGTCTTTGGAGGCTACGTTGTAGTTCTCCGAAGCCGACTCAACATATTTATTCGAAAAATCCGTAAAAGTATCCAAATTAGAAAAATCACACTTACGATATCCATTGAGAAATCTCATCAATGTTGACGGATATTCACTTAAAATTCTGCATATAAACATGGGACTTGTGAGCAAATGACAAATAATATCCAATTCATCAGCATACAACTTGAAAAGAAAAACACAAAACATTACGAACAAGGCATAAACAAGGAATCAGGAAGTGAACAACTACTGTTGTTTCAGCACAGTTTTTAACATATCAACAATTAGTCGTCACAACATCCTATTCAAAACAGAATTCAATGTTTTCACATTTCATTCACCATACATTAATCTATCATGTTCAATACATACATCTACATACATTTAAGGAATCATTGATCCATTTCAATATCTGAACTTCCAAAACAATAAAACTATGGAGAAAAACATGTTCAGTGTTCAACCAACGTTTACAAAGCTCTGATAAAGAGTCTCCATGATAGATGTCACATCGACTTCACTTTATGGTACTTCAATCAAAAAAACATATGAGGACAACAGTTAACTGACCATCAACACTGTGTTTCTTAATGATCTAGCACTTCATGAACATTGTGTAGACTCCAGAATTTCAGTCAACTATGTACTCTGTCATTACACTCAGCTAACTAAACTGCCAACTAAAAAGTCTGAAGTAGAAATTATAACATTCAATCTTTCATATGGGTTACAGATTATAGCCAAATATTACCCAAAACCAGTAAACTTATCACTAAGTTCTCTTGCAATTGGAAATTAACATTTGAAACAATTTTCAATAGAATTCAGAAAACAGTCATGCATTCTACAGCATCATTGGTTTCATGTTGATCTGAGAAATAAAATTGAAAGGTGAGTTGTTGATTTGTGAACTGCATTATCATCAATGATAAGTTATTCAGTGTGTAATAAATTGTAATATCTTCATTGAATATTATGAATATGAATGACAGACTTGATTGTACAATACACATTCAGTCGTGTCACTAAAACTCTCCCTTCTTCAATCTATTCAATTACGCTTCAAGTATTAGGTTTATGGCTAAATTTTCAGCTTAACTACCTCAAACATCAACCACATTTTTCTTCATAACACACATAGCACAAAGTAATTTGATGCTTGCCATCATCAACTGATCAACCTTAAACAACCAATGAAAAACTAAGAAGCATTGAACTGTTATTTCATCACACTATGAAGCTCTTCAACAGTGAACACACACGGTGTGTGATTACAGTCAAAATCCACTTACAAAATGATATAGTTTATCATCCAAATCTGACAAAACAACAGCCAATATTTTGTGAATAGTAGCATTAAAAGTATACTCTGAGTACATATAATTTCCATGATTTTCAAAAAATTTATTGAATACTATTTCTTCAATCGAGTGACTTAGAAATGATAAATTCTCTGCACCTAAATTCCATAATTCAATTTTCCCATTCAATGTCATCTTTTCAGTTGAAATAACATTACTAATATTATTATTACCATTGGATGTGTTATTGAAACAATGCAATGATTTATTGAAAATAATCATTAACGGACGTAATCTACTGAGAAGAATATGAAATGCAAGTGGAGTTAAATGTAATTGTTTCGATTTGTCTAAAGCACACAAATTGTTTGTACATTTTGACAGAATAAATCTGTCAATGTTACTTTCAAGTGTACATATAGATTCTAAATCATTCGGTTTATCCTGTATGACAGAAAGCATTTTCCATGGATTATTCTCCCAATTCATTTCATATTTTTCATTGATATTTTGTGTAGTAAAAAGCCATTCATTGAGTAGAATTAAAAGTTCTTTACTTGACAATGAGTGACGACAGAAGATTAAAAAGCCCAGTGTTGCAATAATCAAGTCATGTTTATATTCAACTTCAAGATTTTTAATGATCTCATCTATTAACTGATCAATTGTGCCAGATAACATTTTCAGATGAGATTTCACCTAAACAACCAAAATGAAAGGATAGATAATTTATAAGCAGAGATTTACTGATAAATGAAGTCAGAAAGATCACGATAGTTAAACTCCAGAGTGTATGCAAATATGTAGCAATCTATGGGTGAATACGTTCAATCAGTATCATACGTGTAACAATAATCATGTTTCCCATCAAATGAATTTAAAGTTTGAAGTTCGATCTTGACAAAAATTATTAGTTCCATTGAAGATGAATAATTGAAATTACATCGATAAAATGGAAATAGCTATTCAACAATTTTAAATGTAACAAGTAACATACTAACAAAAGCTAAATGAGCGATTACAGACAGTGAAAAGTAGTATATCCTCAAATGTATATAATGAAAACATTGATCCATGTCTTTTGACAACCACTCTAACAACAACAATCTACAGTAGGAGGTTGTAGAGATTGTTGAAATTCATTAAGATTGTCGATCGGTTTAAGTAAGACTATCATCGAAAACCTGGAGGCATTGGACTGCCGTCTCGTCCTAATATAGGACTGCTCAGCAGTCTTCATCGACGATCCCGCCAATCGGGCTCAAACCAAAGACCTTCAGTCTCGCGCATCAACAATTAACCTTTAGACCATTGAGCCGGCATCCAACGGTGTCTATGGCTAACCTCATACAATGGATGATATTGCGCGACTGTCTCCCATTGTCTTCACTTAGTGAGGGGTCTCACACAAAAACAGAACGGCTGCCTAGTGCTTCCAGGTTCTCAATGGTGATCTTGCTTAGACCGATTTATGATTTCAATGCAAAAACACAGTCACTTTTTATACATTAACGTTCAAAACACCTCCAAATATTTACTACTGAAAGTGGTATCCCAAACGCGTTTCAACAAATCACATAATACATCTTGCAAGTAGTTGAAGAAAAATATATCTCATAACAAAATAAATCAAACGAGATATTGTGCAAACGGAAATACGAAATTTGTTTCTAAAATTACCAACAACAAACCAACATCACTACCATGCTAAAAGTCTTAAGAGAAATCATGAAAATCGATCAAAGCAATTCCTCCACCTTGTTCAATCTCATTTTCACAAGGTGAGAATACAAGTAAACCATAACATTTCAAGCATTACTGAACATGAATAAAGGATAAGTGTTTCAACCTATTTAGATACTCGTCTGGTGGATGTACCTGCATCCTAGTGTTGATCGCTATATCGGACGATCAAAATTCAGTCCAAAATATCAACAACGGGATAATTCAAGTCCCTATTAAATCACGATTATATTAAAAATCCATGATAATGTACAAACCTCATCATGACTTCCACATACTTGTAGATATTTACAAACCATATTGAAATACGATGGATTATTTGACTCACAAGCTGAAATTAGTAAAGCGATCTACAAAGTAGTGTAAAAGAAAGTATAAGAGAGAGGATAAAAGCGGATTTCCAATTTTTTTTTATAGAAAAATGAATATTTTATGATTTACATTTATATTATTACATGACTACCTTTTATCACATAACAATTATTCATTCATTTCAACCTACCTCATATTCTAATTGAGAATTAACACAAGACACTCCATTACTATGTAAATGAGACAATATAACAGCACGAGATTCTTCGGAAGTCAACTGAGGTATCTGATACACTGAACAAGTGTTTTTGTTATATTGACATGTTAATTTTTGTATGATTTCCGAATTAGAATGACATGTGAAAATAAACTGAACATTCTGATTAGAAAGAAACAGTGAACAAATAAAAGCATTGACAAAGTACTAGAAATTTAAATTTTTTTTTTTAAATGTTTACTGTTATGATAGTTAGTGTATGAAATCTGATACTGATACAAGATGTGCTGTGCATTAAAGCCTCCCCCTCCCAATCGACTACTTGAATGAGAACACAAGAGTGGACGAGAAGGTACATTGGCTACCAAATAAAATGCACAAATACTCATTCACATATATACATCTCTACCCCTTACAAAATCAACTCATCTCTTAGCCAATCATATCCATTCATCCTTCAGGTCATTTCAGATTGACATAAAGTGACCTTCGCACATGGCTACTTTTGACTGCCTCATCATATCACTAACAGATTAAATAGTTAGATAATAGATAAATTGATAAATTTATACCCCGACGAGTCGTCGGATATTCCTCAACAATGTCTCTAGAGGCTCAGGAAACATTTTACCCTATCTGCGTTGAATAGGAGCTTCTCAGAGACACCTAGAAAGTGAAGTCACGTGTCACGTTACCTATACTATATACAGCATATACTATATTTAGTTTGGTTCCAGGGATTCATAGACGCCCATAAGCGTGCGTAACTCTGCAAATACCATGGTTATTCTGTACATAAACTAAACTTGGAGTAAAGCGTTCTTTTTCGACCACGAGCCTTTTCTCACGTGCTCAAGTTGCCGTGTAGATCTAGCCTGGGGTTATTAAAAGCAGATAGGAAATCCGATCGAGCGTCGATCCAGCAGACTTACCAATATCGTGAAATAATTGTGTGTTCATTAGTGACTACTTTCAAGATGAATTACTAAATGCTGTAGTATGAAGTAGAGACTAATGAAACCAACCAAAACGAGAATAGAATAGCAGCTCAAGGATAAAATTCCATGAAGTTGAAAGTGTGAAACAGTTTGTACTAGAACACAATGACTCAACAATATCGTGTTCGCTGTAAAACCTAAGGACTATGATTCCGGAATTCAGTGTGCATGATGTTTTGGATGTGCGGAGTCAAATAGCTTTAAACTAGAACGTAACAAGCGTTTGTTATTCACAACCTACGTCACTCCATCATTACATTTGCCAAAGTATGAAAAAATGTCGCTTCAATTTACGATGCAATACAATTCGTCTATATAATGTTACCGGTGTGTTTTTGTGTTACATACAACTTTTATCCTTGAGAAATTACACCACTGTGTAACACATGATTACTAATTTATAAATTCCAACCAACAGAGTATGGCTGGTTCAACAAGAAATCAACTAATAATCAATCATACAAAATTTACTTCGACTTAACCAAATAGAATTTGAAATAGTCTTTTGAACCATTTTACCATCTTTCACGCTGACGATGATCACATATATTAAAACTATGCTTTTCAGTTTACGGTCAACATAAACAATGATGCCATACCTCCCACAATTTTCACTAGCTGATATGACAACGAAACCAGGTACAGTACCAATCCAATAACCTACATACTACCACCTTAGGTTAAATCATTCAGTCAAGTTTACTTGCTGATCGAAACGATTTTGAAACGTAACGTTGAACAATGCTGTTATTAATTGTTTCAAAAGAACACTTACTTTTGGTAAGACCGATGGTAGCCAGTCGTCTAATATCAACGGATCAAGATAGTCTATATCGTCAATTAGAAAAGCATAATTCAATCCAGGTATGCAACCCAAAAACCATATCATTTTATTAAAACAAAGCATTTTCAATCTACAACGAAAGAAACACACATACACACACATGAAACTACATTTTACAAAATAAGTAAGTAAACAGAAATTTAGTCATTTTTAGATTTTGTCATGACTGAAAGACTTTTGGATGAATAACTGACGTTTCTACACAAAGCTTTAGAAAAGTGGATATCAACCATGTCGAGAACGAGACAAATATTGGTAATAGTGCTTTGTTAGTCATCACGTTATTTCATAAGTACACTAAAGTAAAGATTGTGGATCAATCAATCCACGACTAAGTGATCTGGAAGTGCATTCATCGCAACGAAACCTGAAACTACTGATCTCAGTTCAATGTAACGTATCGCGGATGTGAGCTGTCGAGGAGTCGTGAACCTCGGTGGAACATCTGTCCAACGTTCTCTGGTTTTCAACGACTTCTTAGTTGACGTCAATCTGTGATGAACAATGTCTTCAACTTATTGCTCCTGGTTATATTTGAACACTTCAAAGAATAAATTGGTAACAGATAGATACTAGGTGGTAAGTTAGTAAGTGTATACCGATAAGGGTCTAAAATTAGGTAAAAACATCTATCCAGTGCTCTTTCGCATTTCATGGTCCTCTCTATGTTATAATATCTAATAGATGTGTTGGTACCAATAGACAGACAAGCATTTAGAAAGCTAATATAATCATCTTAAACAATATAGATAAGTGAAATAAAAAATTACTTCAGATTATGGTGATCGTTTGCTGTATTTGTGCTATCCAAATTAACTTTGATCTTCGAAAGAAACATTTTAAGAATATTTGATGAACTGAATAAACTCTGTAATTGGGCAGCTAGACATTTGATCCAATGATCAAGCACTTTAGACAATTGTTTACATGATGGTAAACCTGTACTCGGTATACCATTGGTAAAATGAATTAAAATTTGATACTTTGCCAATGATTGATTGTTTGACATTGATTTCCGTGTGGTACTTGTTGATCGAGTATAATCTTTCGAGCTCATCAAAGTAGACTGATGATCACTTGCAGCCAGCGACATTGCTAATGCAGCCAGATGAACAGTTTTTCCACTTCCAGGACTTCCAGTAATGACTAAAATCCCTCCATTTTCGTCTTAAACACGGAAACACACACATTAAAAAGAACAGGTAACTTTTATACATATATACGCAAGGAAAGTAGAGTTACACTGAATAGAACTTAAACATTTCCCGGTAAAGCATTTGTCTTACCGAAATAATTTCATTAGGATGTACTTACACGATTCCACATAATGTTCACAACCCTCTACCATGAATCTAATTACTGAGAAGCTCAAGAAGTACCACTATGACGGTTTGCATATTTGTCGCCTCCTCTTTCTTCTCTGTCGTTTAGAGAATCTTGATATCTTTGCTGTAAAATTCATGCATCAGATAAATCCAGAGATGAGAAGAGATTTCATATGAGCAAGACATGCTCACAAACCTTTACAGATGAATATATACAGCAGCTAATTACAGTATCAAGACTTCTGCAGATTTTGTATATCCATAACTTAGGTGTTGCAATGTTGTACGTTTCTCTCTGAGAACTTTTTAGCCGTAATTAAACATATTTTATCGAATAAGATTATTATTATTATTATTATTATTATTATTATTATTATTATTATTATTATTATTATTATTATTATTATTATTTCATGTCAGTTGTTGCTCATCAGCAAAGCATGACAGGTAGGCCTAACCTCTGCCTACATCTACGAAAGATGTTTCCTGGTGTACAAGTGGGTTACAAAATAAGGCGGTGAGCAAACTAAGACATGGAATATCAGTCTATAAAAAGTGGGTGACTGTTAGTCTGAACCAAGTCAGTAGATCCAAACTACTTGGTTGAAGTCAACGCAATAACCACGATCAGTGAGACTGCAGACATTGGGTGACATGGCTCACGATGGTTCATAATGGGACAGAGGTATGTACTCTTTGTCTTCCTTCGGATTATTATTTTTTTAATTATTTAGCCCCTTCCACTACTACTACCACAACCACCACCAATGATATTATTCCTGTTCTCCTCAATCTGATCTTCTCAACCTTCTGCTGCTAGGCATTCCACTTCTGATTGCTGTGACATATTACTTATGTCGACAGACATAACATACACCGCACTACTACTGATAGTATTACTATTACTCTTCATAATTTCATATGATATATGAGAAATTGGACCGTTGAACATATACTTCTGGTTCCAACTTATGTATGACTGACTAAACTAACAAAATGTTTAGGCAGGAAAAAAAACATACAATACAAAAGGAATATGTAGTACTGAGACAGTCCAAAACGGAAAAGAATAATCTATAGTCGAAGGACCTGTATGAGATTTTTAATCTGACGATAGTAGTGACGATATTCAATCGTCAACTAAGCCGAACTAGTGAAAGTTAGATTTGAATCTACAACCTGGTAGTTAAAAGATAACCAAGTAATTACTGACTCAAACACTAATCGAACACCATGAAGAAGAAGCTAATATTGACTAATAGAAGCAACACATATTTGTTTTTATGTTAGAAGAAAGAAACAATCACCACACAAAAAACCATAATTGACTGATTATATTCTCTTTTGATCGATAGTAGTTTCGATGTAAAAATCACATTCCATGGTTTGAAACAAAGCATGAAATGCTTCATATAAAACTAACAAACAAAGTCATGTGGCAACTATCAAAATAAATCAGTGCTACTGATGTTAAAATAAGAACTTTATAACAGCACCAATAAATGATGAAGGGGAAATTTTGATTTTGATGTGTTCAAAGATTGAGAGATTGACTAACCCTTCAAATGGTCATGTGCGGGCATGTCCAACAATACGTTTGGCAAATGCATACTTTCGATGGATAATAAAACCTGATTCATAAGATCAAGTAAGGCTCGTAAATGAACATTTATGTCGACCCAATCAGTAGTTTAGCCTCGACAATGCATCAAAATGAAGCAAAGACTGGAAATGATTTGGAGCTCCATTTAATACAACGCCTTTCCGACAGTTCTTCACAGTCTTTTTTCGGGATTTCCGAAGCTGAACTATGAGCTCAGTGTTCATGAATAAAAATTAATTCGGGACAGTGACGGTACTTTAAGATTGCCTTTTTCATTTGAGGTTACTACCAATAAATATGAGGGGAGGAAAACCATTATCCAAAACTATGGGTCAGATTAAATTCAATTAATCATTATACGTGTTCCCTACACATAATTTGTTTAGCACACGAGGATAAACAATGGATTACGTTTCTCTTCTTGTTCAATAACACCCGGCTCTGGAAGTTTGCATACTGACTGTTCCAGGTTGGATTTGTGTTTATAGACCATCTGAAACACCAAAAATACCATCAATTTTCTGCACAAACTTGGAGTAATGCGTTCTTTTCATACTTCGTGCCTTTCCACTCATCTTCATGTTGTCGTGCAGATCTAGTATGGGGTTATTAAAGAAGCTTAGGAAACTGACTCGAGAGTTCAGTCAGAGAACTTCTCAACATCATATTCCAATGAAATATCACAGCCTGTTTTTCACATAATTTGAATTAAAAAAACCTCCGATTAAAACAATGAATTCCGGTTTAAGAAAAACACTAAATAATAAAGGTTACCAAAATTTAGTTACACTCAGTTAACAAACAACATGCGAGTGAAGTAATTAGTTTCACATCTATCTACTTCGCATGTTGATCCAGAGAGAGAGAGAAATAAATTCTACATCAGTCATTTTGAAAATTTATAACAATAATTACAAATTTGATCATCTGAACGTGCACTAGAAACAAAACAACAAATGCAACTGATGAAACATGATTATTCGAACAAAATTTTGTTAAGTTGTGAAAATGTTTACCGTGCGTTAATGCACAATAAACAAGGAAAAAACTAACAACTATTGCGATGGTATTAATAGACATTAAGATGATTATATGATTTCATTTCTAATTATAAGTGTTCAAGTGTATCGTGTATCTTGTAACATGAATACATGATCTTCATAAAGTTATACGTGTGCGAGCAATGTTGTGTCATAGAAAGTATTGTTCAACAAATTGTAAACACACCATTACATGTTTAAACGTGAATCAAATCAATTTTCATCATGGAAGCGAATATGAAAATAATTATAGACAAAGATTTGCTCTTAGTTCCAAATAATAATTTATATAGGTTAGAGTGTAGTTAGTTCATGCCTGTTACCACCACTGGTGGAACATAGGCGCAAACCAGAATTCTCCAATCGACTTTTCTTTGCTATAGTAGGGTATCATTGATGGTCTATGTCCAATGGATTCGGAGTACTTTGCATAAACAGCTCTTTACAAGTTACGAAGTTAAATTACTCACATTCGCAGCATAAATCACACTCAATAAAGAAAAATTATGGAACAATCTTTTAACAAAAAGTTACTTTCATGTTATGACGAAGGATTGATTGAAGGGATTTGTAGGTTGTATTCATCACAGGTTAATCTGTTTATCAGTGCGTACCCATGACCAAAACTCTCAGATTTCATACAGAACACTTGAGCATTATCAAGCACTTTCATACTACAGTGAAACAGTTATCCAGTGCACCCTGACTTCCAATGATACATTAAACGGGATCAATTTGTTACAAACACAACCTACATAATCTAACAAATATACATTCAGTAACTGATTCGTTTGCAACTTTTACATAATAAATATTCAACTAGACAATGCGATAGACTATGTAATAACAAACGCCGTCAAAATATTTTTATTTTCTAAAAACTAAACTAACTTTGATTATTTGAGGTTCTATCTTCAATTCTCACGTTCTTAGAAGTTGTATTTGAAGATTCATCAGATTTTGTATGTTGGCCAGTGAAATACGTCGGAACACATTTTCTAATCATTGTTTTAAAGGCATGTTGTATATTTAACAAATGTCGTGGTGATATATTACAAGCTATTGGATTTACATAAGTTGCAAAAAATTCTGAAATATCTATCAGTTCATCATTATCATCAGACGACGTAACCATTGGCGATTTAATGGCGTCATTTACCTATTAAAGTTTGCAGCAAGAAATTGATGAAACAATAAATGATATTCATCGCTCAGTAAGGTAGTAGTCAGTTAGTGATTAAAATGATTTACAGAAGACATCTACAGAATGTTTTAAAATTAATAAAGACCAGTCAAAAAGAAGGCGGCAGCAACTGACCGGGAAATACATGAGGCAAGAACTAACTTGGAATATTGAAGGGAAAAAGAATGAAGAGCAACTGCAAAGGTTGACCAAGACAGAGTTCGATGGAGAATGCTGGTGGATGGCCTATGCTCCTCCACCAGCGGTAACAAGCGTAAGTAAATAAATGAGTAAGGATTAGATTTACCAATAAATGAAAGATATTTATCAGCATAATTCAAAAATGGGAGGATAGATAAGAGCTAACTTCTGATATCAAAGTACTACATTATATGCACAAAATCGTCCACGTGTAATCACTTTTAGACGCAAAACAACAATTTATGACATATAAAGAGAGTGGAGAAATATGATCAGCGAGTAAGTGCCAAAAAACACACTTACAGGGTTGTAATATAATCTCTTAAGCGTTGATTCTAGTGTTGATAGAAATTGATTTGCAAAGTTATCTAGATTTCCCATCATCGGACGGTCATCAATTACACCAATGAATCGAGCAGAATAACTGAAATTGTAACAAGAATTTATTTGATAATATTTACAAACCAAAACACGCCTCATAGAAAGCAAACTATCAAATGGATTATAAAAGATTGTTCATCATTGGAGTATGAGATATTCTATGTAACAGGTAGTACTATTTTTCATATCATTCTAATCTATTGTTCATTTGATAATTGGAAGTACTTGGTGAAATTGAACCAGGACAGTTGTGCTATTCAATGAACAATCATACAGGTTCTTTAAAAAGCTTTGAAAAATTGTGCTATTGAAAAAACCCCATCTTCCGTTAAAACTTTAAAGAGTGACATTCATTACAATTCTATTCATAATAATGAAGGATGAAAAATGAGTTTCTATAGACTATCGTCAATGTGAAGGATTTGTGCTTACACAGAGTATTCACAAAAACTGATACAAATAGTCACTGGGATCTATCAAGAATCTCCAGAAAAACAGAATATTCGAAAATATCAAAGCATTACGACCAATTTATCTATTTCGAACAATGTGGTGTCAACAGGAGCTACACTAATTTCACAAGCATAATCAGATGATCTACAAAGAGTATATTCCAGTAGAAAGTGATTGCCTGAAAAATATGAGTTGAAACAGATATTTTGAGCTATACCAAAAATAATCAAATAGCACACTGAATTAAACTAGAATACCTGAGGATAGAAACTCCATCATTCAGTAAGAGTTGTTTGAACGCATCGAGGTGATGAAGATTGACTGGATCGTGATCACGAAATATTTGTCCATATTCATTCGGTATGTCACTAATGTTTTTTTTAGTAAAAAGAATACAATGTTAGATTTTGATAATAGTTCTGATGGCATAGACCCTTTAAAATCACCCTAACAGGATTAACCAAAACTGATTTTTCGATGCATTATGAATAATAGAGAAAGTAGCTAACTATGCATATCAAAAGAAATGATAGAAAAGGATCAAAATTTCGTAGTTAACAAAGAGGAACAGTATAGATTTATTAGATACTCCAAGTGGTATTATATATACAACAAAAGAGGAAATACAACAGAATATATAAAATGAGTGGATTTTTCAAAGGAAATGAACATTAAATTCTTATATTTCGATAGTTTTCACAATATCACACTGACAGAACAAGCATAGTGACTTACTACAACAACAAAACCAGTTCTCTTCAGAAACCTTTTCTTTATAAAGATTTTTCAAGGGGGACAACTTTTTACAAAAGTATGTAAGTAATGATAAATTACAACTGAAATATAGCCTTTTCAAGTACACTCAATAGGTACGAGACACGTTTTCTGCACTCTAAGTAACATGTCAATAGACTAACATGGAAAATACAAATGGAAGATTTCCTAATCAGGTTTTACGTCGAAACGTTATTTTCCATGATTCACTTTAGCTACGTTCTTAAAAATTGAAAGTAGGTGTAGTTATATTTAAATCTACTTGAGAGGTATCGTGACAGTATTTTGCTGAAATATGTAAAACAAACGAGTATATCACCATATCGAAAAGTCCTCACTCAAAAAATTGTGATATGATCAGAGCTTGCAATGAATTGTCACACGAAGTACACACATCAAGTGTTGTTAAGCAAATCTGTTTTATTTCTTTATTTTAGTTCAGTTTCTCAAAAATCGTTTTGTAAGTAAAACTTGTTCTAGCTATCGACATTCTCCGATAGGATCGTAGCAAGCAAGCAATATACAGTCGCTGACAAATCTAACCTCTTCTGAGTACATTGGGTTAAGATGCTTAATTTTTGCAATGCTTTTCACTTAACAATATGAAGTGAATTAATTGAGGAAGTCGATGAATTGACTTTCTTTGATAGTTTAACCAGTCTCAGAGGAACGATGGTCAACTGTAACACAGTTGTCCTCACTGAAAGACATCCCATTTCAAAGTAAATGATGTGTATGAAAGTAGGAAATACTCTACCATAGACAACCTTGAAGTATTGTATGCTGGCGCTAAAAATACATAGTGAAAAATGTTGATGTTAGCTGCAAAATAATTACTAAATGTGATTCATTTTGATTATTGTAGTTGTATGCTGAATATTTTCAACCCAATATCAACGTCAAAAATGATTTTGACATCTTCCTTTCAATTAAAAGTATTCAGTTCACTAATCACGTGTACACATCTATGTCCTAACCCATAAGTCGAATTCATATTGTTAGAGTATAGACGGGATCCAATACAGAGGGTAAGCGCATCTGGAAACGCTCAATTAACAATCAACTATTTAGCGCAAAAGGCAATAACTTTACTAATGGTGATATTAATCTGTTAAGAACAATAATCTTATAACCAAAAGCTTTAATTACGATAAACAATCAATCTTCTGTCATTAAGAAATGGTGTTCGGAATCACAAATCTGGAGACTAACACTACAAAAGAATCTGACTCAATAATTCAGATTAAATGAATGGATTTAATTAAGAAAATATACTTTAAGTACAGCAATTTTCAATACACAACATTCACTCGACTGATCACAGTTTGAGATGACAACCAACTAACTATGATGACGCATTTATAAATATAAAACAGATTCGGCAAAGTATCACAAATAACAATTGATAACGACACTATTCGAAATAAGGAAACAAACCTTGTATTAAAATCTCGAATGAATACGAACACTGTAGAAGGAAACATGTTGAAACTTGATCTGGACAATTTATTTACGGCAGCTAGTTTCACCATATGATATTCCATTTCTGTGACAGACATTCCAGGCTTGTAAAATTTATTGACTTCAGCTAGAAGTGAATCAGGCAATGCTCTAACTAACGATTCATCGGGAACCCAACCATATCTGTCGAAAAATTAAGAATGATTTAAACTAAACATTTTTTTCCAGTTGACAGATACTTAACACGCTGACAAATTCAATTACACTTTATCGTTTAAGCAATATACCAACAACTGTTGGCATCGTATAACTGCCTCATAGTACTTGTATTGCATGAAAACATTGAACTTTTGCTTAAACTACGAATTTGTTAAAATGTGAATAGTTCTAATTCGTACACTTCTTTATCATATTCAGATAGGATCTACTTTGATTTATTTTGAATTTGGTAATATTTATTCATTTAGAAGAAACTTTATCATATGAGACGTTGCATCACCTTACAATTTCTTTCAGTTACACTATCACTTACAATCTCATACAAAATCACTCATTCATTATTATTCGGTATATTTTTTAAGCCATTCAGTCAGTCAATTGCAATTTAGAACCTGGTACGTATGTACATCGGTTCAAGTTGACAGACCGCATAAGCTCAACCAGATGAAAATGTCAAGGCTTATCCTAGAGTTGTAGAGGTAAAAGAAGAGATTAAGCAGTTTAAGTGAATATCTGGACACTTCACATAGTACAAATAGATTAATGCCTTTTCTTTTAATCAATCTAATAGACAGTAATTGTCATACGGTCGAGTCTGTTTAAAAATAACCTCAACAACGCGTTGATTATCGAGATGTCATTCGTAAACACCTTTAGTAAGAACTGAATGTTTTAATTAAGAAATTCCACAAGAGCCAAGATAAGTGTGAAAACCACTTTCACTAATCAACTCTAGTTGGTAACTTATTAAAAACGTCTAGAAACCATCTCATCATGTTTGTTGAATCTGACTGAACAATCACTACATTTAATAACAATTCTAGCACCGCTTCTCGAAACCGCTGGTACCTAAAGGAAATTCGTAATCTTTCAAAATTCTCTCCTTTATATTTTTCATCTATTTTCAGTTCCAGACTCAAATATTGAGAATATGAAGGTCTGGGAAGTGTCAAGGAAGCCGGCATCTACAGTGACTGTTATCGGCTCTTCTAGCAGTTTGATATTATCCTTTAGAACAGTGAATATTCAGATTATATGGAAAATATACGTTTCTAAGAATATATATATTTATATTATGATAAACAATTATATTTGCAGTAAGAAAGTGACTTCAATACACATACATAAGGGATACTCACTTATCACCCAATAACAAGATAAATATATCAGAGGCTGCTGCTTGTTTCAAATACATTTCCAAAGCTATGAGACTACAGGTGATTGATTCAGGAACACCAATACGTAGATCAACTAGATCAAGGCAAGTACTGCACTTTTGTGCAACACTTTGACACAAATTTGGCACTAAAGTATGGTAAATCAGATCATGTTCCGCATGCATGTCAATGTAAGATGATGATATATACACGCGGCAGAAACTGTCTCTAAATTAATACAAAGAACAAGATAATTTATACAAACAAACGATTAATAAAATATCATATATGATATGAAATTTTATTCCAATCATTGTGCTAAAGTTATGGTAACTGCTTAACTAAATTCTCACTGTTGAAACTTTGATGATAATTAGGGTGTACAGAGTTACATTATTTGCTTTTTAGTAATGTCACTACTGTACTGTGATAATCTAAGTATCTATCCTTGTGCTGGCAGTTTGCATCTCGTGACAATCCAATTAAACTATACTTATTCATTTAGATCCTAACATGGCAAACAGATTGATCGGAATGCCGGGACTAAAAGCATCAAAATAACGATCCAAGGTGGAAGTCGTACCATCGAATGCATAGTATGATGGTAGTAAGGTGTTTCCCTCAAACAACCACAATATATATTAATACTACCTTTCCACAACGGGAAGAGGGCTTTGGTAAAATCCGGTCCTATAAATAGATGTTTGGGACGTTAGATCCCCAGAACTCACTTCGTAACTGACCTAATTTCGTAATTCTATCTAGAAAATTTGAATTTCTTTGTTTTCGCGCCAAAAGCGCTCTTGTCACCTTCATATTGTATTTCCCACTTGGACGAATCATAAATGCTATTGGTCCGTTGTATCTTTTAGTATGCTATTTGGTAACTCTCCCCGAGGACGGTTTTATGCTGTATATATACGTTTTGATTTGTGCTTGTTGTTATCGATCGTTTCTGGCTGTTTGCAGAATATACTTCTCCATTCCCATCTTGGACTTTTTCCGCTAGTTAGCGGGGCAGGGATGCATCAGAATATCTAGCTTATTGGTCATCGGTCACAAGTCTTTGTTCCGTTCGCATACTACGTGAACTCGTAATAGCTTCAAACCTAGCAATAGAACATCTCATCTTTTCCACAGATTTCCGCCATCGGTGGGAAAGGCCTAAAACTTACGGAGCCAAAACAACAAAAACTACTCAAAAAATTCCGAACATAACGGGTGTCTCTAGCATTCTACAGTCACACTTCTGAGTTGTCAATGCCACTACTCTTAATCCAGTTTCCTTATCAGCTCCCTCAACAAGCATCCTTTCGCTGTGTGATTAGTTGGAAAGTGACAAACCTTCTAATCTAATTCAAAGTCTAAACAGCAACGAAAACTTTGTAGTATAGAAAACATAACTACAAACTTCTAACCGTCTATTCAATCTCCTCTCTAGAATACTTGATTTCATATTCCATGTATAATTTCTGTGCTCATCAACAGTTTATGGAGTAGCTAAAAGAAAGTGTAGCTAACACTTAATACATCTAGTTCAATAGTCTCAGTCAGTCAGTCAGTCAATCAGTCAGTAACAACGTAGAACTTCGTACGTACGTATGTACATCAGTTCGAGTTGTCACATCACATTAGCACAGAGATGCAGTGGTCGATTCAAATCCCGTAGTGCTAGATGTAGTAAAATTATAAGCTGTAATCAGAAAAATTAGGGTTTGGAGATTTTATTCAAGGAGTATAATCCAGTGAAATAAATTTGGAAAGAGAAAAAAGAAAGGAACATGAAGAATTCAAAGATTAGAATTTTGGAGAACACAAAGAGTGAATGCACCTGCGCCATTGCAAACGGTTTTGAGCCATGTCATTCAGGGTCTCTAACCATCGGTTGATATCATCTCGCGGTCCCCAACCAGGTAGTCTACACCTACCAATATGACTCAGTCTACTTGTCAGTGACTTCATGGACTTGTGCCATGTTTTGGTCTGGCCTCCTTTAGCCTTTTTCCAAACCACTTCTACACCATAAAACATCGCACGTCGAGGCAGTCGGCGGTTGGGGATACGTAACACGTATCCCAGCCATCTCAACTAATGAAGTTTCACCACTTCATCAATTGAATTGCCATCCTTACATAGTACCCGTTTCCTAACAACTGCATTACTTACTCGATGGTCCCAGGATATACGATCAATATTTCGAAGACACCTATGATCAAATACCAGTAACCTACGGATATCGTCTACTCTTGCCGGCCATATTTCACTGCCATAAAGTAGGAAGGAACGAACTGCTGCGCAGTAAACACGTACTTTGGTCTAACAGGTCAGTAGCAATATATCAATAGAGATAACGTTCAGAATTCTTCAAACATTAGAGTCAATGGACGTAAAAATTAAACAAACAAGATTGTTTGCATCAACACAACTGGATAGTGATATTTCAATTAACGTTCTGTCAAATAGTCAATCAATTATTGGAACAGTGAACAAGAATAAAGTTTAGATAAAAATTAACACAACTTACTGAGATGATTTTATTTGAGAAAGTTTATTGTGACATTGTTGTTCACTTGATAGGTTCATTGGAAGAGATAGGTCAAACATGGAATTCATTTGTAAGTTTCATCAATTTTATCGATTTGTTCTACTAAACATTTGTCATCCGGTAACGATAAATATTTGAAAATATTATCTACTAATCCTTTCGATTCAATCCATCCCGTCATTGGGAATGAAGTGCACCTTTGGAAGATAAATCAATAAATAATGAACCTCAATTAACGGGATGAAAATTATTTGTCATACACGTTGTATGAAATGTCTCGAAAACCACTAACCACATAAGTATGATCGAAATTACAGTAGACACATTTTAGCGATCGAGTACAGACCAACATCCAACAACTTTGATTTCAAACTATACCAACTGGATAGGGGTTGGAACCAATGACCTAATTGTTCACACTTGAATGTGTTAAAAATGTTAGGCATTCGATTTTCACCAGTTGGACCTAAATATTCTTATTCAAATTACACTGAGCTGGCTTTATAAAGTGCAATGTCAATAAGATTAAGTTAAAAAAAAGAAGGTATTTATACATGACCAGAGTGTAGATCGGAAAAATCAACACTAAATATACTAGCAATCATAACACCTCTACTTTAACTGATCGATAACTTTAATATATTTCGGTTTGGGATACAATATTTTGTTAGTATAGGACACTTGCAGTTCACATCATCGAGTGACTTCAGTTAGGCAACTTGGATTAGAAATGTTAAGCAGTGGATTTCAACTCAATAGTCATAGTGTTCGGATAGGCGACAACTTAAGGCTGGGTTCCGTTTGCAGGCGATTTACACTTTGCATTGTTGGGACTGACTGTACCTTAAACTATAAATGCAGATGTAATAAGCTCAGAATCGACCTTTATGGAACAGCAACTGAAACGATATTTGATTTTTTTTCTTCAGAATATTTAATCAACTATCTTTTATATCTAATTATCCGATTCAATGTGCAGAAACTCTTGGTCATACCAACCGTAACAAATTGCCATCAGTGAAACGATCCCAATTTTAATCTTCTCTCTATATTAATTACTTAGATTTGCCAGACTGTGGAATAATTTGCTGCAATCTATTCGTGAAATAAAGTTACTACTATCCTTCGTTCGTTGTATTGATGTTTACTTATCCTCTGGAAATACTTTATGTTTCCTTACACCTACCTTTAGGTGTATCCTATTCCACTAGTAGGTTATAGGAACATTAAATGTTTGATTGTTATTGTTACTGAGACCACTCATTAAGCCTCCCTACCTCCAGATATTTCACACTTGTACCATCCCTGGTACACTTAACTCATTCAATTAATATATAATCCGAACAGTTGGTCATAAAACCACCAATGACAGCAAAGAAGACAACAAAGATCAGTTTCATGAGAGGTTGCAGTCGATCGTAGAGAAGTGTTTACGAAAGAGCCTGACCATCCTAATGGGAAATATAAAACTGATCAATGACAAAGAAGGCAAACCAACCACTGAGACTCAATAACAATGAACAGGTGGGTAGAGCGCTCTGAAGAACTCCTAAACAGACCAGCCTCACCGAACATCGAAGTAGCACACACAGACCTTTAAATTCATGTCACCTCACCAACGATCGAAGAAATTAGGATGGCCATCAGACAAATCATGAGTGAGAAAGCAGAAAAAACCTAACAATATACCAGTCGAAGTACTAGAGTCAGACAAAGAAGCAATTGAAAACATGCTTCATGTTCTATTTAAGAGGGTAAACAAATGCCACCAACGGACTGGAAAGGAGCATATCTCGTCAAGATGCCAAAGAGAGGAGATCTGATATGCAATCAACAAGCACATTGATATCGATCGAATTTATCAACCAATCAGAAAAATCATGCACAAATATAGGAGCAAAAATCAAACCAATGGGAGACACAACCAAAACAAGGAAGAAGTAAACAATGACAAATTTAAGGTCAATAAGAACCAATCAACGTCGACGTGTACAGAACAAGCTGTGAAACGCATATGGAGAAATTCAAACACTTCACTTCTATCTGAATTTTGTGCTGATGATGTCGTTCAGATGAACGGTAAAGCTCCACGATCAAACCATCCAGCTCAGAGAACAAAACCCCATCTCAATCATCCACCTGAGCTACAAATCTTCTCCACCATCTCAGAGGAGATCTGAGCAAATGCGAGAACTATAGAGGTATCACACTACTATCGGTACCAGAAAATTTTTCAGTAGAGTGTTGGTGAACCGGGTGAAAGATTCAGTAGACGCCCAACTTCGAGATCATCAGGTCGGATTCCGTAAGGATTGATTGTGCACAGACCAAGTCGCCACACTACGAATCATCGTCAAACAATCAACTGAATGGAACTCATCACTATACATCAACTTCCTTGAATGTGAGAAGGCGTTTGACAGTGTGGACAGGAGAACCTTATAAAGGGCGGCCTGTTTGAGCATTTGAACTACCTGTTCCTGCCATCTAGATATTTCAACAAGTTATCTATTTTTGTTTGTTTTAATAAATCATTATGTCTATTTATCGCATAACCTATTCTGCTGCGTTTCTAAAAAGTGTACAATCTTTCGTTGTCAAGGTTACAAAAAACTCAATAAGAGACAATGTGGTTGCTGGCAATATACAACGAAAAGAATGTACATTATTCAGATGTTCATTTAGTGAACTGCTCACATCTAACTGGCGATCACTCAATATTTATCGCCAGGACCGACCAAAAAGAAAGAAACGGACACTGGTTGAAATACTTTGCGCTGAGAATTCTATACTGTACCGAAAATATAATATTGAATAAAGCTAATAATAATAATAATAATAATAATAATAATAATAATAATAATAATTATTATTATTATTATTATTATTATTATTATTATTATTATTATTATTATAGAACCTTCTTCATCACTATGGTGTACCTGAGAAAATCGTCAACATCATCCGCAATTCATACGACAAATTACATTGCAAAATGGTGCGTGGAGGACAGCTGATAGATGCATTCCAAGAGAAGACCGGAGTCAGACAAGGGTGCTTACTCTCTCCATTCCTCTTTCTTCTGGTGGTGACTGGACTATGAAGAGCTAGGCATCTGAGGAAAGCACGAAATACTTCGCAGATGACCTAGCTCTACTATATCATACACAGCAACAAATCCAGGTGAAGACAGCTAGCGTGACAACAGACTCTGCAGCAGTTTGCTTCAGCATTCACAAGAGAAAAAGGATGGATCCTAAAATATTACACAACGAGAAACAACCAAAATACACATGGTGGACAATCTCTGGAAGAGATGGAAAGTTTTATGCCTCTCGCTAGCATCATTGATAAACAAGAAGGATCTGATGCAGATGGGAAGGCAAGGATTGGCAAAGTAAAGACAACATCCCAACAACTGAAAAACAACTGAAACTCAAAAGAAACTGTCAGCCAATAACGATATCAGAATTATCAATACAAACGTCAAGATTGTTCTGGCTTACAGAGCTGAAACTTGGGGAGTTACTACAACCATCGTCAAAAAGTTACGAGTATTTGTAAACAGCTTTCTATGCAAGGCACTCCAGATTCACTGGACAGAGACCATCAGTAGTAACCTACTGTGTTATAGAACAGATCAACTGCCAGTTGAGAAGGAAATCAGGAAAGGAACCTGGAGATGTGTAGGACACACTTACGGAAACCAATAAACGGTATCACAATGAAAGCAAAAACTTGCGATCCCCAAATCGAAAAGAAAAAAAGTAAACCAAAGAATACGTTGCACCGGGAATGGGGGCAGACATGTAAAGAATGAATAGCACTTGTAAACAACTCGAAAAGTGCCCAGGATAGAGTAAGTTGCAGAATGCCTGTATGCACTCTATGTTCTACGACGGGTAACACGCCAAAGTAAGTAAGTATATAAGTTGAGACAAAAAGTCTCCGCATTTATGCCGAACTTGAATGAACTATGATTTTACTCAAGATACAGACCATTGATTACCGATTAACAGAAGAATACTCAAATCAAAGTTCATTACTTCCTGTTGTTTACTGCAACTCATCTAACTGTAAAATCCACTTATCATAAATGAAACTATATAAACATACTAAAAATGTCTGTGTAGTGTTATTTCAATCTTACCATTTATCGTTCCCACTAAGATTGTTCCAAATAGCCTTGATAGGACCAATGTTTGCTCGGTAATTCACAACATATTTTGCAATACTATCAGGGCAATCTCCAAATACAATGACTTTATCAAACTACAGACACAACGTCCATACAGATGTTCGAGATCGAAAGAAGAAAATATTAAATAGATATGAAGTAGTATTTTGGTTACCAAATGTTCCAATAACAATTGACCATATACAGTGAATTTTTCATAATATCATCCATTTGACTTTTATTACTATTTTCAAGTCTCGTAAAACCCGTTATAACCCTCTGCACCGAACGTGCCGAGAAACAGTATTTAACCAATGCTTATCTCACAATTGGTTTCCCTGAAATATAGGCAATCTACGGATAACCTCTAATACTCAAAAAGTGAACACACGGTACATTAATAACTTTGAATACAGTCTAAGTCATATGTATCGATGGTTTGAATCTTCCCATTGATGTTTAGGACAGCAATCGATCAGTCTTTTCTGGAAAATGTGAGTCTTATCCAGATCGTATCGATATTGCCATTATAAGTCACAAGCACTTTTTAAGCACAGATGGATAGCAGCTAGCAGTGGAATCCGACACCCGCCTTCTGTCCTATTTGAGGCGAACGGTATTGGATTCGAGTCCTGAGGTGAACATCAACTCTGGGATGTATGTATATTCAGCTGATAAATCGAAAACAGGACAAAAAGTGTGTCCCATATTTCACTGCTAGCCACCATCCACCTCTGTTTAAAAAAGTCAAAGTCTTTTTTAATGAGGCGCATATCCATTTAATCCACTGCATCTGTACCTACCATAATATTACAAAATAATAATAATTTTCGGATGACTGAATGATCAATTACGAACATTTTCACTACTTATTCGATTTTCACAGCTCATGTTCTATTATTTTTCAATAAGCTGAGTAACATACTATGATAAACATTCAACTGTTCATTGACATACAAGAATGACGTTGACAGAACAGATGGAGTAGGTTCGTGAATATAGTCAAAAACTCATTTATTCATCATAAAACTATCACCTTGATTTATTTATCTAACCAAACAAAACAAGTGATGATTCGATAGATATAACTGACCAAATTTCACTTCATATTCTAACACTGAATTCAAAATACATCATAAACAAAATTTGTTAATCAGGTCAATGTTATGAACTCATCACATCTCAAATTAAAAGAAACTAGATTCACGGATGAAATCACTTCGCTTCCATATATAACAAATGGTTAGCATTAAATCAAATACATAGAAAATAGACTCAACATGACAAAAATATGAGCAAACATTCTAAGTTGTTGAAAAACCAACCTTTCTGCGAAATGCACTAAACCTATCCAGTGTTAATGATAAAGAGTAACTTTCCCACAACTGTGAAAGCAAAAAAATTATTTAAAAGAGAACACTTTTAAGCGTCACTAGAAATAAGGTTGATAGAAGTAGAAAGGTTAAGGAAATCGTAACGAAACATTGGCAGTGTAAACTCATCAACTACAGGTCCATATACTTTGTTAGCTATACTCACCGTCTGTTCAAGTTAAAGTAGATCAAGTGAGGTCACAACCCTGTGACTTAATAGATGAAATTTTAACTTAGACAACTAAGACACCTTTCACTAACAAATACTATGCTTCAATATGTCTAGTTTAGCCCTTTCAGTCAAATATAAAGAGATTACAAACTATTCAGGCTACAAAACGAACATAAAACCAGAATAACAGTACACAGGTAAGACTAGTTTCAAGATCATTTTCTATGTCAAAATCAATGAAATCTAGGGATTAGAGGATAACAACATCAACACAGATCTAGAATAAGTATCAGAGTTAGTCCTTTACTCTGTTCGTAAATGAACATAGGGACCTCAACTAAAGCATTTAACCGGTTGCTATTGCACAGGTGGTCCAGAATGTAATCAGTATCTCCTTGTTGTATGAAATACTTTCACCAGTCACCATATCACACTTCAACCAACCAATCAAAACCCATAGAGCATTTATTTTTAGAAGTGAAAATCAGCAAAATATAGTAAGTGGACTAGTATTCCTTGAGGTGTGAAACTGAACTGAAGTCACTGACAACACAGATATGTAAGAATTAGACATGAGCTAGTGATAGTTACATTGATAATATTTGCTTCTTTCTATAAACATTGTTCCCTCACAGTTTACTTAAAACCCCTACCAATGGTTGTTAGCTCAGACGAAGTTAGCAAGGCTTATTTGTGAGTTATGATTCATCTACAGAAATGATTTTAAGATACTGAATACCAGCTATTGACTAAAATTAAAATATACATCCACAAAAATTACATTGGTGTTCCAAAAATAAGTCTGCTCGATACTGATTTCATTGTTTTGTTACTTTTAAAACGATTTACCTCGAACCACTAATAGACTGAAACCAAGGAGCAGTCCAATGCAACTTGGTAAAGACACAGTAAGAAAAGGATTATAGTATTACATAAACAGTAACCATTTCACTCAAATATCTAAACGTGAGCGCCAAACTAACTAACCGTGGTGTATGGAGGGCAGGAGAGGCCAGGGCAAACTTGGTTGCAGATTCCTGATCGGCAGCCTGTACTTCACGAGACTTTAACAGGAGAAAGTAAGTCATTAGTACTGACATAATTCAATCGATCATATTAACTCAATTGCTATTGACAGTTGAGTGACTTGAAATGATGTGTCACTTTTAGTGATGATTAGTTGGTGAAGAAACGGGGATGAGGAGAATGATTAGTGTACATTAACAACCAATGAATGACAAAACGAGCAAACAACAACATTAAAAAATAAAATGCTCACTTTACGATTTTTGTAAATCAGTTTTATTTTATCCATTAATGGTGGGTTGGGTGATCGAAACAATGATGTGTCTTTTTTATTTTCCTCTGTGTGCCACAGTGAACTATATAATAGTAATAGCATTCTATTTATGGAAGCGACATTGTAGTCGTTATCCACTACGAAATAAACGACTGCATTCTCACATATTGCATTGCATATTGCACCATAAATAAAGCTTAACACATTTATCTAAATGAGAGAAAAAAGATTTTGTAGAAACACACTCCCAAACAAAATTCAATGAATATTAAATGTCAAGATACTTATCAAAGCGAACAAAAATGAGAAACTAGACTATGCATTAACTACAAAGGAAAAACAATCCGATAATTTTTTGTTGGCACATTTGAACATACCATAGGATTTAGCACAAATATCTATCAGTATGCATGTGTGTATCACCATATTTCACATCATTATCGACAGTTGAAATCAAACAGAGTAAAAAGTATTGACGTTTGTGCAATCATTTTCACTCATCCAATGTTTATATACCAGTTTCTCTCTGTTTAGATGTGGAATATATTTGTGTCACACCCTACGCTTTCCATCGTTAAAGGATGGAGAGCCATAACAAATGTGGTAAAATAATAATAATAACAATAAATAATATGTTAACTCATTCACCACGTACTTGGGAATGAGCCACACTATAAGTGTGGTGACTAATCATACCACTCGGTTTCCTAAGCCGGAGAACGTGAGGCGGGTTCAAACCTGGAACTTGGCGCGACTATAAGTGAAAATGCCACGTATCTAAAGTAACACAGATGAGGTCAAACACTAATCTTATGATCCAGTAATAGGTAAACTGATGCTTTGATAACTGTGTCAAATACTGTGCGCAAAAACGGGTATAATTTGTGGACAGTCGATAGCACACACAAATCAAATCAATACCACCAAGATGAATATCCTTTTTTGCTTCTACGTTACATTTCACTGGTGGCTTTTCACTACTGTCAGTATGATAATTTTCTGTTGCTTGACAATCATCTGGTTAATTACATTTCGATGTGTTGACGCGAAATACTGCAACTTACGCCGACACACGTTTCTATCTGTCTATCTACCTATCTATTCCAACTAACTATAATCGATGTTGCAAAAGTAACAGCCACTTCTAACCACTGAAAAATTATTATCATCCTTTAGAAATAGTCAATATGAACAGTTAGAAGTCCTCCAGATATTTCCACTAATGATACACAGAGTTAAAGGCAAAAGTTACTGATCTCTAGGATGAAACACAGTCGATGAATACTAAACAAACAAAACAGGACATTGTTAATGGTTAATAAAACACAATTATATGAACGAAGAATATTCTTCTCAATAATTTCTTATCAGCTTCTATAATTATAAATCCAAATTAATAATCCATAAAGTTGACTAGAATGAAAGCAGAGTATTCTTCATTCATATAATTGTGTTTGAATATAATAGGAATTTTACAGCAATGGTTAATCATCTTTAGATTTTTCAAGTAAATTAAAAATTGACTCTTACACTTTTCGTTTAATACTAGGCTAATATATAATATGTTAATTCTTAAAGAAGGCGAGAAGAATAGTCAGTCCACTTACATCAAACCTGAAAGTTATATTATTCAGTAATAGTCAGAGATAACATATGTGCTTTACAACCAGGAAACTAAACAAGTCACACCATCAACATTAATTCAGTTATTTTCCTCTAGAAATTTCGAACGCCTAGGGATCCACAACAACCTTAGGTTTACCTATGAAGCTGTATCAGTTAGTCGATTCAATGTGCTTAACCTGTAACAGATAGCTTTTGTCAATGAGATTGTAGACCACTAATATTTTCGTCCGGAATAGATCAATCAGTCAGTCAGCATAATCAACGTACAATTCATCCTGAATTATCATTATCCATCAATATATACCAGTAAGCTAACAACACTATCGGCAGTTTATTTTAAGTAAAATATAACACGCTTCACTTCACAAACCAACTGAATGCAAATAATCATACACAGAGGAAAAAATCTCAACTTACGATAGCTTTCACTCTAGTAGATCTCCTAATTTTTTGAAGCTCAAATCCTGAGCATAAAGAACAAATAACCAAAACTGAACAACGTATAGGAGACAAATTGTAACGAGTTGACAAGCTCATAGCTTTAGTTAAAGCCAATAGGTATTTGTTCAATAGCCCCTTATTAATGTTCAAAGATCTGAAACCAAAATAAAAATGCATCGATTTATGGTGGCTAATTGAATCTAAAGAATACCGAGTAGCAGATCGCTTCCAAAAGAATGTACATCCAACAAACGATAATGAAAAGTTCTACATTACTAGGTATACGAATCCAATCGCTGTGTTTGATGAATTAGATGTTTTGTTTAGTCTATTGTTGACTGAACTAAAGTCTTATAATGAAGTGGACTTCATTGTAGTATATCTTACAAATGATCCATACACTACAGGCGACACAAGGAAGGTATTCAATGGATTTAATCGATTCATTTATTAACAGTAAAAAAGACATCGATCAGGAAAAATACTCCAGCAATATTTTGCACAGTGCAGACAAAACTTAATAAAACCCTCCTCATAATAAAATCTAACGATATTACTAAACCTACTCAAAGTAATAACTTGGTGACAACGTTCTTGTCGTCAAGAATTGATTTGCTACCACGAGATTCACGCTACCGCTGGCGTGGTTGTGTACAAGACTGCCGCTCCTTTTGGAGTACCTATCTGGACTCTGACCATGCCTTGGTCTGCGCCAATCTTACCTTACTTTCCAGTGGCCAACGAAGTGACCGCCACCAACGGATTGATGTTAGCAAGCTGGTTGCAACTTCTGTTGCAAATAAGTATCGAACCGAGCTAGCCTCTAGGCTAGCTACCACTCCACCGAAAAGTATAGATGAGCATTGGTTGCAATTGCATGACGCCATGAAAATGGCGGGAACAGTCAGTTGTGGGTTTGCGAAACGTCCCGCTTTAAGCACTGGGTTTCTTCTGGTTCCTTACAACTCATTGAAGCCCGTCGGTCTACTCCGGGTGACCGTGAGTTTGACCATAAACGAAGGATGTTACGTAAGGAAATTGGGCAAAGCTTGCGTAAGGACCGAGAAGCCTGGTGGTCGAGCGTGCTAATGAGCTGGAAGCAGCAGCTGCATCTGGTAATTACCGGAAGCTCTTCCAGCTCATCCGAGCCACTGGCAGCAAGAAGTCTGGTGTGAGTGAAACAATCTGCGAGGATGATGGGATGCCAATCACTAACATCCATCGACGTCTTGGACGATGGGCAGAATTTTTCGAAGGGCAGTTCAACTGGCCTGCTGCTCCGGCAACATCGGTCAGACTGTCCTGCCCTCCATGGCCGGTGACGACTGATCCACCAAATGAGGAGGAAGTCCGCAAGGAACTCCAACTCTTGAAGCGTTACAAATCACCTGGCCCAGATGACTTACCTCCGGCTCTTTTTAAAGATGGTGGTGACTTTTTGACTAAGGAATTGACGACGTTGTTTACAAAGGTTTGGGAACTAGAGAGTGTACCAACGTCATGGAATGAGTCGATAGTTGTCCCTATCTTTAAAAAGGGTTCACGTCGTTCTGTAACAACTATCGGGGGATAAGTCTACTTCCGATTGCGTCCAAGCTATTGGCTTCCGTCATGCTTCGTAGGTTGTTCAAAACCCGAGAAAGATTGACTCGCGAGGAGCAGGCTGGTTTTCGTTCTGGTCGAGGATGTATTGATCATATCTTCACCCTCCGCCAAATGTTAGAACACCGCCATACTTATCAAAGGCCAACAATCGTAGTGTTTTTTGACATCAGGGCTGCCTTCGATTCGTTGGACAGGACTGTTCTCTGGGATTGTCTATTGAAGAAGGGTGTGCCTGAGAAGTTTATTAACATCCTAAAGGCCGTATACACAAACACCTCAGGCAGAGTGAGGGCATACAACCACCTTTTTCCATTGTTCCATTCGAGCAGTGGGGTTAGACAGGGTTGCCCAATCTCACCATTCCTCTTCAACTTTGCCATCGATGACATTCTGGAAACAGCTTTGATGGATATAAGTAATGGTGATGAGGATCTGTTGCCTGGAGAAAGACTTCTCGACCTTGAGTATACGGTTGATATTGTCTTACTGTGCGATAATGCCCAAGGCATGCAATCCGCACTTAATCAGTTGGCAATCAATGTCCGTAGGTATGGTATGTGCTTTGCACCTTCGAAGTGCAAAGTACTTCTACAAGACTGGCAGGATCCTAATCCTGTACTCACCCTGGATAGTGAGCAGATAGAAGTAGTCGAGAAGTTCGTGTATCTGGGTAGCTGCATAAGTGCTGGTGGGGGTGTGAGTGATGAGATCAATGCACGAATAGTGAAAGCCAGAGCGGCTTATGCCAATCTGGGCCACCTTTGGCGCCTTCGTGATGTTAGTCTGGCTGTAAAAGGTCGGATCTACAACACGTTGGTGAGAGCAGTTTTGCTCTATGCTCCCTGGTTGGGCTTCGAGAGATGGTGCAACACAGTGGCTTAAGATGTTATCAGATACGACTCAGAATAGAAGCCAGTGACGATCTTGCTGTAACTTTCTTTATAAAAAGTGGTTGTAACTTCCTTAACTGAAAGAATTCTTTCTAGTTGTACATTTCCGTTCCTCCATTATTACCATTATTATTTTGCACTACCTTAAACCAATCTCTTCGTTATTGTTCCCTTTTTTCCCTTCGATTTCTCATTGTTCAGTGTGGCGCATATATATTGGCGCTCTCTTGTTCCAATATGTATGTGTTCAAATAAATAAATAGATAAATAAATGTTGAATCAAATTACACATGTAATGTTTTACTTTTTGATGAAGACGATAAGGAAACAAAGTGTTTCAGGTGTAACAAATTTATGGGTAAAGCATTTATCGACCATTAGTCTGATAGGTTTGTTAGGCCAGGATTATTTCCAGAAACATATTAACTTGTTTGATCTACTGATAAGGCGAAATGAGAACCACTTTCAATCGCATAATGCTTCCTTGTCTTCTGACAGGTGACATTTATGTTGAGTCTAGATTTATGCTTCGGTTGGTAGTCATTTCGTTTGATTACCACCTCCCCCCATATTTCTTGAGTTTGTGTCCTCTAGGATATCCTCATTGTCCCAGTCAAACTTGTTATTCGCATACACAGAGATCATTGACCATATATTCTGATACACAAAATAAGTAGGGATAATAACTGAAACATGATCAAAAATCAAACCGCTTACCTTACTCTAGACCTCCTGGATCTATATAGGTACTTCGACCGAATTTTGTTGCTTTCTTGTAAACCCATGTCTGAAACAACCACAGAGAAGTTAAATCCAGTTTATTAATCGTTATCTAATATCTATTTCATTCATACATAATATATTGGTCAGTGGTGAAATGTAGTTATTTGAAGTAAATTTCCACATCATGGTACTGTACATTCCTTGATGTCAGTGGAGAACAACTCAACAACCACACACACACAGATCCATGTACTGCATCATGAAATACAGCCTCGTACGTAGTCTAGTGAGATCAAACTTTCAGTCACTATGCACACTTTGAACCCAAAGCAAGCACAAACATGGACAACTAAACGTGAAACTTAGAGTAAGGACTTCAATGATTTGAATGAGTAATGGATGAAATTATTTTTCCCCACGAATCTGTGACATGAAATCACATCTTAAGAAAGAGTAATTATACAACTTAATCAAATATTCATATCTGTTGATTACAGATAGTTAATTATATTATACTGTAAATATGTGTTCAATCAGAAAGTTATTGAGTATTTGGTGTTAAATACTACTCAGTTCAATTCATACAAATCTGACTGCAAATAAATTATATAAAAAGTAGTATGTTCAGATATCGTTTTAGTTCAGTTTTAGTGTCAAATACAATCCTATCAACAGTATTTCACGTTCTTATTTCGCGTTGTGGGAAACGCAGTGGTTACCAATTTAATGTATTTAACGGGAGCTTAACGAAACACTCACTAAAGTAACTAGCACCTCTATAGTGACGGTTGTATTGTTTTTAATACAGTCTTTTCTCTCTTTAAGTACCCGATGGCAATCGTATCTTTTGCAAATAAATATTAAATCTCTAGCCAATTAACTACTGATTGTTCAGTATTCAGCCTCATCCCATAAAGAGTAGAGAAAATTAATGGCTCTTGAACAACATTCATTTATAAATGGTGAAAAGGTTAAGTATACAACTGTTATACCTATAAAACGTTGGTAGCAATGTCCAGTAACTGGTAGTAAGTAAGTAGTTAGGAAAAACAGGCCACTGAAACTCACCAAATTATCGAAATTCACGACACACATTCAGCAGTCTACAGTTACGTCCGTGTAGTAATCTTAATCAATGAACAGAAATGCAGGGCGACATAGCTCAAAGTCGGCTACAGTGATGCAGATATAATCATTCTTTATTTTCCCATAAATCTTAGGCTCCCATAATATTTTGTACTTTTTATCTCCTTATTTTACTCTATTTTACCGAATCATATTCTCCATGTTTAGTTTTAATGCCATTGTGACCATAATTGTTTCGGTACCATTACTTTTCATCTTGTCAATTTCCCCTAGCTAAGCCGGTATGTTATGATAACTTGGGCTGACTCACAACTATGACATATCTAAAGTTGGTGATAGCCAACTCACTGAATAAGTGTAAACTCTGAATAAATACATTACTGCTATTCAGTATGGAACTGAGTTAAAAGACTTGTTGGTAATGACAAGACCAGAATGTTTCATCCGATCACATAGTCATTATTAAGTGTTTATCTCAGTCATGAAACTGAACGCACAAACTGACTACCTATTATTCGTAAGGTAACCTGGACTAATATTTAAAAACTTCAGATGCAATATGGCATAATAATTTATAAAAATTCATTTGATCATTTTATTCTTCAAAACATTAAGATCATAATATTCTAGGCTTTCATGTATCAACTTTATTCATTACTTCTGACGCGCTTTTAGTGTATTCCACTACGGTTTTCACACAATTATTTTTGATTATTATTTATTTTCTCTAATGATAATTATGTAAACTGTGACAATATGAGCTGTTGTAAATATTTGTATCAAATAATACTCTCTTTACACTGGAGTCCTTGCTCAGTTGTCGGCTCGCTTTTACTCTTATTCTTATCACTTTCAGACTCTTCCATCCACACCGCTTTTCACACATAAACGCACACTCAGGAGACAATGTGAGTTCAGGTTATATGCGAACCCACCGAAAAATTTGAAAAACTGCTAGTTATATACATATATATGTACATATTGAATTTCTTATTTACCTTTTAAACGTTTACGATTTGCAGTCATAGACAGCATATCATGAAGTTTCTCAACGGTGATATACGCTGTAAGGTAAACAAATGGTAACTGTTTTCCTTCAATGACCGATTCCTGGAATTAAAAAGTATTCAATGTCTATTGACAGTTAGAAAACTTAAAATGTAAATAAATTAGGAAGATATTTATTGTGAAAATAAAGCTCACAGCATACAATGCAAAGTCAGAATCATAGAGGTGTATACTTAGACTGTATTGATTAATATTTTTGGACTACAAAGGTTCATTGAAAAAGAAATCAATAAACAATTTAGTTCATTGAAGGACTTGAAAATGAACCAAACAAAATAGATTTTATATATACTGACATCAGCTGGAAGACAAATGGAAATCAGGTAGCTTTGAACAATTGTTTCGATACCTCAGAAATACACATACATGACACTGGAAATAAACCAACTTATTACCAGCACGATATTGAACATCAGTGAATTGAAGTCAAATGATCGACCTTTACAAGTAAACAAATTTTCGCAAACCACTTAAATACCGAATACCTGTTTATCTGTCGGACGCAATTTCTTAATCCAATTCTTTTTTAACTATCTACTTCAAGGTAACTAATAAACATCCGGTAATCGAAATTTGTTAAGTCATCAATCACTTTCAAATGATCCTGCTTCGTTCTGGGCACCCGTATAGTATCACAACCCACACACAAATCAAGTGACTTGTGTGGCGCATTTGTATTCGGTGCCCCTTTGTACCAGTATTTATGTGTTCAAATAAATAAATAATACTTTTAAATGATAAGTCTATCATTTATATTAGTGGTAATTTTTGATACTTTTGTATGCAACAGCAAAGTATGTTTCGAATAGCTAGAACATAAATTTCGCTTAGAACAAATGAACAATTGTTATTGAGATTGATTGTAAAGATTAGTTCACACTCGTTACGGATTGAAATCAAATGGAGTACCACTAAAAGCCAGGAAGCACTAGATAGCTGCTTATTCCTAAATCGGGACTCATCACCAGTGTATACCTACAACACTGCTATTGATCAGATAGAGAACTTACAGCTCTGGAAGTGAACATCTGACACTTAGGTTACTGAGTTAGGATTCAATGGTTCAGATTCTTAACTTCAGTCAATTCGTGGTACGAGGCAACGGTCATCCAATGTCGTCAGTGATGATCCTCTAACTACCAGCGTGATGAATTGATCAAATTTCAAAATGTGGACCATTCAATGGCAACTCAGTGGTCTACAGCCCCAGTGTTTCGCTTTGAGATCTGGTGGTCCTGGTCGTTAGCCAGTACTACTAAGGAGTCCTAGCTTCTATGATATCCCGACTGATGCTAATCTGTGACGAATGATACCTACGGAAAAGTAATTGTTTAATAATTTAGTGCAGTAAACCATGCGACGCTGTCGTTGAGCAAGCTTTTCCGACTATGAAATATAAAGACAAGTCTTAGTAGATGTACCACGACAGGTAAGAACATTATAGAATATTCAAACAACAGAAAACTATCACTGATAACGAGCTTGATACTCATAGTATATCTTTCAGACAAATAGTCTTCCGTAATATCAAGGTCTATGTCCAAAATTTGTGTATGACAATGTATAAGAAATCTAAGTCAGTCGAACAAGAACGAATTCATTAAAAAGAAGTCCAGCAAAGCGTCTGCTAACACAACTACATAGAATCCTCATTCATGACAACCGGTGTCGGCCACTCTTACTGGAAATTAATATTTATTTGTTATTGATTTATTTGAACACAAATATTGGTGCAAGGGAACACCAGATGTATATGCGCCACACACAACAACGAGAATGGGAAGAGAAAAAGAATGTAAGGTGCGTATAAGAAAAAAAGAGCAATAACGACCACAGATAAATGTATGGTAGTGAAATAACAATAATGGGGGAAACGGAAAGGTACAATCAGAAAGAATTCTTTCAGTTAAGGAAGTTACAACTACTTTTTATAAAGAAAGTTACAGCAGAATCGTCACTTCACTTGTACCTGAAGTTTCTGCTGATGATGTCGTTCAGAAGAACGATGAAAGCTCCACGACCAAACCATCCAGCTCAAAGAACAAAACTCCAGCACTATCACTTTCACATATAATAACTAACATTCTGACTGCCAGTAACTACGTTACAACTTAAAGGTTAGTCAATATCACTTAAAGTCAATCAATGTGCAGTATAACGTGACTTTCATCAATGGACATCCATTCTCATTCAAAACCACGTCGATTTTTCAGGTCGAAACTTTCCGCTGGAACATAGAGATAATGATATTGAAGCACATTACTGGTGACCATTGGGTTATTGTCAACTATTTAATTGATGATGCAGAAAGCATATCAACTCGAAAATATTTACATACCGATTTTTAGAAGATGAGTTATGAACTATACCCTCTTAATAATCATTCTAGTGATATATCTGCTTGAAACCATCATCAGTGCTAAAATTCTAGATTCACATAACTGAACGACAAAACAGTAAACCTCACAAACATCAAATCTTTAGAGGGTTAACACTTACCGCATCTGACAATCTCTGTAAAACAATATCATGTCCAGTTTGAGAAATGCGTGAGCATAGGATACTTTTTAGATTTCTCAGAATTAATTCATGACAAAGATCACCAGACACTAAGTAAAAGTAAATGAAAGAGGTGCTATGAAATAACTACTTTATTCCAAAATGAAGCGTTCAAACCCATATACTAACAACAGCATGATATCGAAGAAGCATAAAACTCAATCAGCAATGAAACGGTAGGTGAATGAACACAGAAAAATCAACTGGATTCAGCATTTTACAACAAAATACACTGTTTAAGGTAATAACATACTAGAATAACAATAATAAATCCAAGTCTATCGTGTACACAGTTGGTCACATTTCATCTAATCAACTTTACACGGTTACATAATTATTTCCATTCATTTTTCATTTTTCGAAAACCCACATGATTTTAAAGCCATCCTCTAACTGATAAAAGCTTATAAAATTCATAACGTAGGAAACTTCATAACATTAAACAATGAGGGTAATGTAGACAATCACTGAGACGTAGATCTGAAGGATGACAAGCATTAAGATTAGATGAGTTCTTCTGGATTTAAAACAGTAAGCGAAGCAATAATTAAAAGAATATTAATTTTTATGGCTATAGTCACCATGAAGTTGTCGATTTTTGTTTTGATTCTTACTAAACAGTTGGCCGGTTGAAGCCATCTTATTTCTTTCACAAAATTATCAGCTGATTTTAGATTACTAACTTCTATCGCCAACTACAATCCTTTTCCATGAATTATTAGGATATTTTCAAGTTTTACTTCATCAGTACCTCTATAAAGTGTGGACTCATTGACACAGTAAACTAATTAGCACAAAAATCATTACGTTTCTCCAAAAACGCAGGAAGACAAATAACGAAGATATTTCGGTTGAAGAAACGAATTAGGTTGAGTAAAATAAGCCAACCAAAAGTGCACGACCAGTAATCTGAACTTCAATGAAAGTTAAACGACAAAAAAACAGTACTGCATTTGAAACCAATTTAGCTCTCAAGTTTTTGTCACTGACATTTCTTAGTTACTCAGTCAGTCAGTCACAATGTAGAACCTGCAGGAGGGTGTTTTATGTTCATGGATGATCTTTCCTAATCAGTCTTTCCACTCAGGAGAATAAAGCATCAATGAATACCGTGAATTTCCATAAAAAATCACTGCACTACCCCCACACCCTAGCACAGTCGGTAAAACAACTTCGAATATGGATATGTAGTGTCGACTCATGGATTGACTACCAGACTTCATCAACAGATACTCGGATCTGGTTTCAAGCTACATACTGAAACTCAATGTTTGAATCTAACATTTATGAGTGGAACTAAAGTTTGTTGGCGAAACACTCAGATTTTAAATGGAGTTTTTTTGAATTAATGCGCGCTATTCACCTATTTGCATGACTTCATAGGTTTCATGCATCATAGTTGATGTCAGTTCGTGTTCAAAACCATAACCCTGACTTGGTAAGCTGAGTCCCAATCTTAACCCCTAATCTAAATCTCTGACAGAAATTCCTAAACTTATTTTGAACTGGATAATTGATTAAGATTATACAAGATCATTTTCAGAATCACAGAAAATTGTCACTTTCCTTTAGTTCCATCCATTCATCTTCGGAAATGTATCTCAAATGTATGACTTTTCATCTAGTTAATTTATGTCACAGATTACTTAATAACCGCCCAAATTAAGACTCATTACCATCTTAATAAAATATACTAACTCAATAGGTATCCTGTATTATTTGGGAAGATTTACAAACATCATGTAGAGCCTTAAACGAATTATAGAACATGGATTTGTTCATGAAGATTCGGTTCATCATGATATACATATGTCATATTGTGGTGTGTGCTACTAATGTCGACAGATATAAGTAGTACGTACCACCGATTGAAAGTGGAATGCCTGGAGGCAGAAAGTTGAGAAGTTTGAAGAGAATACATCGAGAGCAGAGATTGGTTGGTGTGGAAACGAAGAAACAACAAAGTCTGAGAAAATTGATTGACATATTGCAAATGAAGTATTTACTGTATAGTTCTCAGATTTCACCAAGATATTCTGTAATGTATTAAAATACATTCGTTCGTCCCCACTGGCGTTCCCGTTCACTACGATATAACATCAAGAATAGATTATGTTTCACGTGCTTCCAATAATTTGATCAAGTTTAGACACAATGGTATTATTTTTTTAACTTCATTACATCCTGAATAGCCTATTCACTAAAATATTCGTATAACTGCTTGATTTTCTTACTCCTAAGAGTTTGGTCTAAACGGCACTCAACGTTATTTACAGTAAACAGTAAAAACAAGAAATCCAGCAATATACCTATTCACATCTGGAATACATATGTATATCTTCTGGTAGAACGAGGCGTAATTACATTAAAAGCCATGCACGCAAGCAAAAGTATAAAAGTTCTATAATACCTTACCTAGTAAATATACTCTCTGACGAACAGGTTGTTAGAGTTAACCTAGTCAATAACCTGCATTCTTAACATGTTTCTAATTTGAAAAGTTGTACGGTTTTTCAGATTTTTTCAAAACCTTTTTTGTCTTTGTTTCTGTTTTTCATGAAAAAAACTTGAAATACCACGTGCTCAGAATTTCTATATTGTACCAAAATATAATATTGAATAAAGCCACCAATAATAGTGATAATAATAATAACTCGAAGACTTATTCATAACTAGTGGCAAAACACACCGTAGACAACAAATACATCTCCAGAACAATCGATATTACGAAAAAAAGCTGTGGTGCTAAATGGTTGGACCAAATACAAACAACTGCCAACTGAGAGTTGCAACTTTATTATCGGTCTCAACATCTCAGTTGTAATCAAAAACTGATGTTAGCTTCAGGAGTAAGTGATGAAAAACGGGATATAAATCCAATTACATGAAATAACACTCACTTATAATCTTTGTCCAAGCATCACGACTTTTGCCAGAAGCTAACTCTACTTTCCATTTTGGGTGAACGGGGAGCTTCATGCACGCACCAGCTTTACTAGCATCCCAATCCCCTTCTAACCCCGTTTTTGAAAAGGCAGTGACATCATTGGGATACAATTTTCCAAGAATACACATGACGTTTAATGCAGGCTTCGATATGTGCAACTTACGAACGAGTTCTTTCAATGTAAAATGAATCGGAGAAGGATCCACTAGCCTTGATTGTAAAGTGTCTGTTACGGCATCCACTGCGGCATCACCTGTACCTCGTCCATTGACCTAATGGACTTAAAAACTGTAGGGTGAATTACCTTACACCGGTAAGAACAGGCACTACTCAGCCTTCGCTTGCATTGAGCTACAGAGTCGCTAAATCAACATGATCTTACCTAACTGATTCTGATCAAATTCACAAAACTTCGAGACCATACACTTTCTTAATGCTTTTGGCATTCCTCTAAGTTTTGGATCACCGCTCAACGACTTTGAGATACGTTAAATTATATCACAAGCCTACTGCATAGCACTCTGCAACTTCTATCCAATCGAGGGGTGTACAAATGCATGCATTAAAATACTTCTTTATGAAAACGCGGCACTGAACATAAAAGCAAGCTATCGAAATTAACAAATTGGCTGTCTTTCGAATATCCAACAGTTTATGAAAATGAAAAGCGATCTAGAAACGATGGGTTAAGTAAACTGCAATACTTTGAGTATGAATTCGGGATCCTTCTCAACGCATTTGTCAATCAGTACACCCAACAGCTTTCTGTTTGTAGGATCAAATTCATCAACAAGTAATGTCGACAGCAAATCAACCAAATCACACTTAAGGGGAAAAATATATATATAAATGATTAGTACCTTAAGAGCATAACAGTCTGCTTCAGTTGTCACGATAGACAGATCAGGAACACCACTACCGTGTTGAAGTTCAACAGGCGAATCATATGGTTTATTCCCATCTTTACCACCACACCAATATAGAGTCTTCAGAACATTCATCTTCTAACTAATTTAGTAGCCCGACCATAAAGCGATGCATACCTTTTATTCAAATGTAGCCTTAACTACTATACCGACGGCCTTGACCGACCAATCAAAATTAAGACAGACGAAGTTAATTATTGGCTCCAACTAAAAGCATCAGTGAGGATGATTGTGAAAACATAGTTTCGATAATGTACGACTAAAATAACGGAAGTGAAGTTCAAACTTTTGAGCAAGATCAGGATATCACGGATCTCGAGTGGTAAAAGTCTAATATCCAATATCTCTCATACATCAAGAGGTTATATAGACCAATTAAAAACTTCGCACTCGTTTCTTGCTGTTTTGTTACTGTTCCAGGTATTAGTTAATGCATAACAGGTGGTCGTATTCCAGGGAACAATCAATATTCTGAGATCTCATCTAGACTGAAAGAGGCTATTAACTATGGTGATGTTTATTCAGTGATTTTGGTAACGACAAAAAATAAAAACCGCATTTTCTGTCTGATTCGTCACACCTTTTTATTCAATATCTGTTGTTTTTTGTATCACTTGTTTGAAAACGATGATAGTTGTTTTGATATATAATATACGAAATTACTACCGCGTGGCTTGAAATATAAGACGATATCTACGCTGTTTGTTCTTCTGCCTTATTGACCACGGTTTTTGATTGGAGACTATAATAGTGTTATAACATCCTTTTAGGCCTTCTGACACTACGTTGGACTTTTGGCACGGATTATTAATATATAACACTATTGGACTCTGTCTTTCTCAATACGCCGTTGGTGCAATCACTTGTAGAGGAACCTTCGTTAATCAAGTGAACTCATTTGTGGTTGTTATTCTCAGGAGGCACCTTACAAGTAGCATTCATTCCATAATAACTGTTATTGTCTGTTTGTTTAATATACCATTTGTATCCTAACTGTATTTTGTTACCCTTGGTTTTACTTACAGACAGACACCTAGGATTTTTACTGTTAAATCTCTTGGCATATCATTATTAGTAACCTTGTGTATTGATATATTTTTGTAAGCTACTTTTGCTGGGAACTACCACATATTCACAATGCTTAGGTAGACTTAAAGGTTATGGTTTTGATAAACCACAACCCTAAGACAACTTGTGAAGCTCTTCGTGGAACGTTTCAAAAGATGAAATCTGGCTGTCAAGAGTGGTCGATATTTTACAACGTCAGAAGTTTGGGTTGCTCATATTTCCGATCAACACTTTTAAACTTTTTGTGATTTTTCTTAGATAATTACAAAAGCATGGAGATTACACATTAAAAACTATGTTTTTCAATTGTTGTTCTTCGTGGTTCAAACATACAAGTATGCTAAATGTGTCACTATTCACATCAGGCGACACTGACGTTGTAATCCTAGGCATCCTGAAACAGCAATCGATCGCTAATTTGGATAGAAATACACGCATGCCATGTTACGAATTCACCTTCACTTCAAGTTTGACGTGACTTCATTAATCTCTCACCGATAACCGGAAATATACACATTTCCACTATCTAACTGGAGTATTTAAGTGCTTACAGGTATCCGTTCCGCGTCTTCACCTTGCTGGTAGACAACCATAACAACAAATCTAACAACCACAATCATACCAATATTGAAGCACAGTGTAGTAGATCTAGCTGTCTTGATAAATTGCTCTCACCGTAGTCGCTTCATCTGCAGCATACACATATCTAGTCTCTTGCAAACACAGAACCTGTGAGCAAGTTACCGGATATGCTTGAAGTTGCTTGCTAGGACGGTCAAAGGTAAAGTTGCAGTTTTAATTATCTCTCAGAGTCTGTTCTTGTGTGGCTTATATTCACTTATCCCTATTATTTTTCTCATCTGGAACATTTATCTTAAGTACTTCCCTCACAAGTTGTCTCAAATTTCAATCTTTAAGCTACTGAATAGCGTGCACAGTAATGGCTTTGCCAGCAGTACTTATACTATAACTATAATATCGACTAACCGATGTAGAGACTTTATCTAGAGGTTATTAATAATTCGAAAATCCCCTTTCTAGCATTAGGATTAAAAACAAAGTCAAGACGATAAGGGAAAAATAACCTAGTAATGCGTACAAGATGGATCACCTAACTCCAATACCGAAACTGAAAGTCCCACTGAATAATCAGGCCAACACTCCTGCCTAGGACCCTACTCATAGAAAGACTATCGGGTTAAAAAGAAACAGCAGAAAAGGGCGTTCTAAACCGCACATGTTGTCGACTATTACTGGAGAAAATGTCACCTAAACAATAATCTTATCTCATATTTGTCACTCGTCAAAACCAGTGATTTAGCCGTTGAATGATATTCCAGTAGTGGCTGTTGTAGAGTCCAAACTACGGTTTGGATAGATGAATAGCCGTCCAGGTACATTAGACACGCTCACTTGCCCGTCGAAATCAAAACAAGTAATCGGGTAAATAGCGGTTCTAAACAAATATTACCACCCGGCTATTCAGCCAATAATTGTTCAATCAATAAAATCAGTCACAACAAATGAACTTCATTTTATCCTCACTGGATAGATCACCCACGCAAAAGGAGGAACAAATCAATATGGCTACCGCCAAGAACAAGTGTCAAGTAAAACAACACAGATGCAGTTCAGGAAGAAACACAAACTTAGTGAATGCGTAAGAAAAACACTAACTATAATAAAAAAATACAAGTAGTAACAATTCAAATGTAATCAAAATACAACAATGTACAACTAATGTGATCAATAGGAATAAAGTACAAGTATGTACATGGAGGGATTTTCATCAACACACAAAACATTCAAAATGGATCTTACACCGGCCTCCAACATCCCTCCATACCACACAAGCTACCTTGATGCCTACGGTCATGTTTCATTATATAACATATCACACCATAGGAACGAGTAGGACTTACAACAGTATGCCTACTCGACCTAACTACATTAATAACAACAAAGACTAATCCAAAGCTTCAAGGAGACCTGCTTCACCTGTTCTCTGGTGATCAACAATAACAGTCTTGGTATAGACCTAATCACTCTTCCCCAAATTACACCCATGCTGTTGGATGAGGACCTCGCTGACAATTCAATATCTATCTTCTGCTGATTCGACTGTTGCACAAACCTCCTGAACTCAGAATCTGCTCCCATGAAGCTTGACGCACTATCACTGTAAATCTCCGGAGGTTTCCTTCTTCTTCCAATAAAACGTAATAAGGCCATTATAAATGAATCAGTAATCAAACTACACATCATTTCAATATGTACTGCCCATGTTTGCAAACAAGTAAACACATATACATACCCTTTTTCTAATGATCTTCCTATGTGTCCTTGTTCTTTATGACAATGTCTAATTATCATTTCCGTCACTAAGTGTCGACTGGGTAAAATTACTGGATGTTCAAAAGCACTTAAGAATTCTGAGTAGCTTAGACGACCTGTAACACAGAGTAACCCATCAAGCATTATCGGTGATAAACCTTTCAGATCATCATGACTTACTACTTTACTTTTGTTTCTAAATTCACTAAATAATTCTCCACACACTTCCTTTTGAACCATCAATAAATTCTTACACTTGGTGATGTCAAGCTGCTTGACCTTTAAACATCGTAGATGAACGGATCCTTCACAACTCGGTAAACGTAGTACCATCAGGAATTCGATGAACCTTCTAAACCAGTTTACAGCTCTGACTAATTTCAACCACTCGGAATAATAAGAGAGAACAGGTGTCCTGTTGTACTTTATACTACTCAAGTTAACCACAGCAGTTTTTCTAAACTCAATATCGTCAGGAGTAGGTTCCGGACAGTCAGTGATTGTTATATAAAATTCGCCATGAAACAAAGTAGGACATTTGAACCAATATTCAAGATCAGTCATTTTTTGTATACTTCGCACGAAACGGAGATGATGTGGCACCAAATGGATGAGTCGCCATTTGAAACTCAGATGGTTCCCTCGACATGTCTCCCTCCTGCCACCACAGAAATCCTAAAGCTCCTCGATCAGACTCAGGGACCTTCACTTGCATGAACATTTCTTCAACATCTGCAAGGATTGCAACTGCCTCCTTGCGAAAACATAATAATATACACATTAACTCGGCAGTGGTACCGGTTTCTTGACAAATCATATCATTCGGGGAAACCCCTGCAAACTCGGCAGCACAATCAAGGACCACTCTAAATTCTTCTGGTTTTCATGTTTAACACTGCATGATGAGGTAAATACCCTCGAGGGCGATAATAAGACTGCAAACATATTTCAAAGACCCTCTCCGCATAAGTCTTAGTAAAATTACTTTCAATACTTTTGATATACCTGATGTGGAGATTGACATCCATCGACAACATACTCTTCAAACTTTGTAATCTACGGTTTGCTACTTCATAATTATCCACTTTCATGTTTGGATTCTTTTTCCACGGTATAGAAACTACAAAATGATCGTTGTCGAAGCTCGTGCCCCCTTCAACAATCTTTATAGCCGCCTTATATTCTAGCGATACTGATTTATCATTTGAATAAACATCTGAAAACTCTACATCATAAAGCTTACGTATTTTGTTCTCCAGTGTCTGTACCTTACTGATATGATTAACAACCCTTTTCCTATATTCCGGGCATGATGGCTTATCATTTACGACGTTGCTTGTCGAGTCAGTGTGCAGCAGAGCGTGATGTCTTCTCTCACAACCGTCAATTTTACAGAGCCTTGTCATCTTACATTCATTAACCTTATGTAAGAAAAACACTAACTATAATAAAAAAATACAAGTAGTAACAATTCAAATGTAATCAAAATACAACAATGTACAACTAATGTGATCAATAGGAATAAAGTACAAGTATGTACATGGAGGGATTTTCATCAACACACAAAACATTCAAAATGGATCTTACACCGGCCTCCAACATCCCTCCATACCACACAAGCTACCTTGATGCCTACGGTCATGTTTCATTATATAACATATCACACCATAGGA